TTTTGTGTGTGTGTAAAATTGTGATCGGGGTTGATCCCTGAAATGAATAAAAGATGGTTTGGTGTGCAAAGCTATATGGTATGAATGGAATTTGAAAAAGATTAAAAATAATGTGAAAGAAAAATAAAGAAAGAAATAATAAGAATAAATTTGAAATCAAAATGAAAGATGGGGAAAATAAGGAAAGTGGTTCACGTGGTTTCATGTCCCACTGTTTTGTGAAAATCGGTAATGGGGTTCGGTATATATATATATATATATATTTTTTGGGGTTAATAATAATAATAATAATAATAACAATAATATATTAAGGAGGAAAGCATGTGCGCTGGTGGGTTGGAAAGTGAAAAAAATGAGAGAAAGAGAGAGTGGGGTACATGATGATGATGTTGGATGTAACTTTAAGATCACTGTAGCTTTGTTTTTCCAGCTCAATATTGGAATTTGAGCTCTTCAGGCGGAACAGAGATAAACTGGGCAGACCCAGTCATGGCGATGATAAGATATTGAACAGTGAGAAGGACGAGATGCTCTGGGCCAATTCTGTGATCAACGATTCAGCCACCAAGAGCAGGGTTCACTGTTTCGAAGCAAATACTCTCTGATTCGAGAGAGAGATAGTATGGATCTTCAGAAGCGCGCACAACGTGAGCGAACACAGAGTTGGCATCGAAGCCCGAAGTCGGAGAAGCAGAGATCGAATCCATTTCTGAGGAAGAGGAGTTCGTAGTTCCGGTGGATGCTTCCGCCGAGAGAGTTCTCTAACGGCAAGACGGCTCTGTCGGCGATCCAGAGCTCGACGGCTTGGAATGCGACTTCGAACTGGTCGCAAGGGACGGCTTCGCAGTTCGGATAGGCTTTTCCGGCGGCGGCTTCGCTGTAGGAGCCGGGGACGCCTTGGTAGGCGACTCGGAGCTTATTGCCGTGAATCGGCGCCGGAGATAGGTCGGCGATGCTGAAGTTCGGTAATTCGGGTGTTAATTGCTACCAATTCTCGGACTCGAAAGCGATTCTGTTGGATGCACAGAAGGCGTATCAGCCACAGTTTGTGAAGATAGAGGAGCACAATTTTTTTCAGTGGGGATGAGGCTTGTAATTTCTTTTCGGATGATCAAGCTCCGACCCTTCCATGGTATTGCTCCGACCCTTCCATGGTATTGCTCCGATCAGTGGAACTAGAAGACGTTGCCGACTCGGGTGACGCTGATGGGTCTGTGAATTGATTGAGTGATGATCATGGTAGAGAGAGAGGCCGTGTATTTGAGAGAGAGAAACCAGAGAGATGAAAGAGATGAGAAAGATTAGTTTTGAGCCCGAGAGAGAGAGCAGAGGCAGCTTTGAACAGCTGCTGCTTCTATGTGTGTGAAAGCTGGTGTGTGTATGTATTGAGTGATGGCAATGGTGGTGTGTTTCAGTGAGGTGCCGAGAGGGAGAGGGAGGTTTGAATTGGTTGAGATCCGGCGGGCGGTCAAGGCAAAGTTGCCGCCCGCCGGAAGGCGAAGAACACCAAGATCTTTAACCTATAGCTCTGATACCATGTTAAAATTGATGTATTATTGACTGATGTATGTTATGTTTACAATGATTTCTATATATAGAAGATGTGGAGTAGGTGGTAGTGGTAGGTGTGTAGTAGGTGGAGTAGGTGGTGGTAGGTGTAGTAGGTGGAGTAGGTGATGGTAGTAGGTGGTAGGTTTTAACAATGGGCTTGTGAGTTCCCATTGCAAGGGCTTAGATAGGGTTTCTCTAGTGATTTTGGTAACCTGGAGATTCAACTGTTTCTTTTCCCCATTTTCCTTTTCCTTTTATTTTCCTTTGTTAAGCCAAGTTTAAAGAATGAACTATGTTAGTTTTAAGCTTCCGTTGAATAAATAAACAATTAAACAGTATAATACTTGGTATCAAATGGGAAAGTTTAAGAAAGATTAATACGAAGTTCTCAGAGCCAGATTAATAGAGAGTTCTCAGAGCCTCAGCTTATCTAAAGTGTCAATCTCTCTCTCTCTCAAGTTACCTTACATGATTGTATTTTTTTGGGGTATGTTTTGGTTATTGCTATTGTAATATCCTTTTGGCATGAAATATGTGCTATATCAATTGTTGGTTTACTTTTTCCTTCGTGTCATACATGTGCTTGTTGTGGGAAACTTCAATCTGGAGTATATTTCTTCCTATAAATTCCTCTCCATTATCAATTTGCATGAAGCATTGCTAACGATTCAATCATTCAACATGTATTTTTCATACTTTCAAAACTAACGGTTACCTGATTGGTTACCTGATTGACTACTATTGACATTGCTTATTGGATAATTTAAAGTATTTTGGCTGCTATGATTGGCATTCATCGTATTTGTTATTTTGGGATAAGCTCGTCATCATAATCATCATTATAATTAATTATTTTTCTAATTATTGCAGTATTACTTTGAAGGCAGGTTTGACATTGTAAAATTTGTAAAGACAGTGCAAGAAGCTGGCCTTTTTGTACATCTGAGAATTGGTCCTTATGCTTGTGCTGAATGGAATTATGGGTCAGTTTCTGTTTATTTGCCTGTCTTGTAATGTGACATATTGCACTCTTTCGTTGTTTTTTGTGCTTTTGCATGTTTTACTTCTTGTCATTATTATTGTTATTTATAAAATATATATATATATATATTTTGAAGTGCATTTTTGCCAATTTTGTGGCTTCACTAGCTTCCATAGATATTTGTGGGTACATATGTTCAGCCTTGCTACATGGCATCGTTGTGTCATCTCCAAGATCGCTTCTCCATGGAATTTGGCGCTACGTGTTAGCCTTGTGAGCTGGCATGTGGGCCAATCACTCTCCCCTCTATGGTAAAAAATAATCTGGCCGATATTTGCAGTGCCTTAACCTCTTGCTTTGGCATTCAGGGGAAGGTTGTGTATTGCTTGGAGCATTGCCTCAGCACATTTGAGGATTCTCTGCTTGAGTGTGCTGCCCTCTCTGCTTGTGATTGGCACTACTTAGAAAATATGAAGAAGAAGAACTCCGAAAATATGAGGAAGAAGGAATATATTTCTGTTATATTCAAAACTTCTTATCTTACAAGACCAAATGTCACTCCTTATATAGGACATATTACAAACATCATCATAACCCATTATATGCCACTTACATATTATATATTACCACTATCTACCACTATCATATTATATACATGCCACTATATGCTAAGGTGGATGTGTGGTAAGACTAGACAGGATAGGATTAGGAATGAGTGTATTCGGGAATGGGTAGGAGTAGCACCGATAGAAGATAAGTTGAGAGAGAATCGTTTGAGATGGTTTGGTCATATTCAACGGAGACCAACAGAGGCAGTAGTGAAGAGATGCGATGCTGTAACGGTAGATGGAAGTGTTAGGGGACGAGGTAGGCCTAGATTAACGTTGACTAGCGTTATAAATAGAGATATGAATCTACTTAATTTGACCAATGAAATGGCCTTTGATAGGGCCGCGTGGAGAAGAAGGATTCATGTAGCCGACCCCATTTGATGGGACTTAAGGCTTCGTTTGGTTTGGTTTGGTTTGGTTATGCTTTTATATGTGGCAGCTGCAAAAAAATGTTCCTGAAGTTAAGTCCATTGCAAATGTTTGCTCCTAAAGTGCAGGTTTTACACTAACATAATTTTTGAACATGCTAAAAAATCTGTTCGTTTTTCTTCTTCTCGTGTTTGAACAGGGGGTTCCCAATTTGGTTACACTTCATTCCTGGAATCCAGTTTCGAACATCAAATGACCTATTCCAGGTACACTTTGATCTCTATAATGCCTTTGTCTGTTTTTCAATTAAAAAATATATATATGTATATACAATGCCTTTGTCTGTTTGGGAGAATATTTTTCAACTATACTTATTTGTTAGGACATTTCATTTGAATTAGTTCACAGTTCAAAATTATTCTTTGTTAGTAAACTTATTATCATCTGTGCAGAATGAAATGAAGCGTTTTGTTACGAAAATCGTTGACTTAATGAAGGGGGAGAATCTCTTTGCATCGCAAGGAGGGCCAATAATTCTTGCGCAGGTGGTTTCTTCCTTATATTGTTGGCATGCCTTCGACATAGAACTTCTTATAGTTATTTTATTTTATTTTTTGAAATATTGCACTTTGTTTTCTTATTCTTTTGCTATCTTCTAGATATGTTTGATCAATTATTCTAACCACTTTAGACTGTATGAGTAACTAATTAGTGATGTAGTATAGTTTATATAGACATTTATAGGCATGAATTTCATATCCCTACTTCCCTAGTAAATTGAACAAGGGTAATTTTATTCACACCACAAATTTTCTCGTTTCACACGATTTTTTCATTCTAATATCAACTTTCGAACAAAAATTAGTTGTTCTAACAGAAACCCTGTTCAGTAGTTGTAGACACAAATTTTGAAACAATGAAGTGTTTCAACACATTTCAAAATTTTATGTTACAAATGTCTGCTGTTTAGTTTTTGGACTAAACAGTGTTGATTATTTGAATAGCAGGTTCCTATTTCAGATCTATATTCCAGATCGTTAATTACACATTTTATATAAATGAAACCTCTGATTAATGAAGAACAAAATAAATAACAAAAAACAATTTAAGAAAAATAAATATTTTATTGAAATTGTTATGGGTTTTGAACCCTCGAATACAAGGTACAATCCTTGGGTTTAAAACCCTTTAACTATTCATCGCCATTTTGCATTTGTAGCGTAGACTCTTGATTTCTTTGGGCTTCTTTTCTTCTTTCCTGTAATGACTTCTGTAGCTCTTGATTTCTTTCTCTCTCTCTCTGATCTTCTCACTTCTGATTTTTTCTCCTCCATCCCTCATCTTGTGTGATGGTCCTCATATTTATAGAGGGCCATCCAAGTGATAAGAATGCCTCATCCTCAATTTGAATTTCAAATTGAATGATAGTACCATTTGAATTTTGAATGATAGCGCTATATGATTAATCGTATATCTGATTAACTGGATTGATATTTGAGATTTCATCCTGTGTGTTGTCCTTGCTGTAGGCTCTACAGGTGTCATCTTTCGTAGGCTCTACGTGTCACTTGAGCATCTTGAATAACGTCATTGAGATACGGCGTTTTATTTATACACTTTAACGGAGCAAGTTGATCATTTTGGGAAGTGATTGCCTACAATAATCTTATCATAGGCTCTGTGTGTCATTGACTATATTTGAAATTTAAACATAAATTTGGTTGAAATTAATGTGCCAACACACACTACTCCACTTGAACCAACTTACTTTGATTTTATGGACCATGCCATCTCCAACCTCACCATTCTGATTTCTAGTGTTAATTCCTTAGCTTTATTTACTAAAACAATATCGTCAGCAGCCAACACATGCCATGGGACATCACCCTAAATGTGTTTAGTTAATGCATCCTTGACTACGGCAAATAAATAAGGACTCAAAGTTGACCCTTGATGTAACCATATAGTAATTGAAAATTTTAGTAATTTCTCCTGTAGGTGTTCTAATCATAGTCACAACAACTCCATCATACATGTCTTTTTATCGCATCGATAAGCCCTTTGGTCACCTTTTTTTTTTTTTTTTTTTTTCTTGAGCACCCACCATATTATATCTCTAGGCACCTTATCATAAGCTTTTCTAAATCCATAAAAGCAATATGTACATCTCACCTTTTCTCTTGGTACTTTTCTATTAGTTTTTTTAGTAAATACGTCACTTCCATAATTGGTCTACCAAGCATAAATCCAAATTGATTCTCTAATATTGTTGTTATATACCTTAAGCTCAATCAGTCTCTTTCACAATTTTATTGTATCTCATTAACGTAATACGTATATAGTTGTTGCAATTTTGGATCTCTCTTGTATTTATAGATATATGTGCGTGTGCGTATGCGTATGCCTGTGCGCTAAAATACTAGTTCTGCACTCGTTAGACATTTTTCTAGTCATTAAAATCTTATCAAAGAATTTTGTTGACCAAGATACCCCCTCCTTACCTAAGCGGCATTTCCAAACTTCAATAGGGACACAATGTGGTCATAATGCCTTACCCTATTTCATCTTCTTTAGTCCAAATTCCACCTCCAACTCCCTTAGTCGATGATAAAACTTATATCCTCTTGTTCCATCAATGCTATTATATTCCTCTCACTAAATTTTCTAAATTTTTTCATTTCAAAATAACTTCTACCTTTCCTTACTCCCTTCATCTGTCACTAACGCTCTTAAATCCTAATTTTTTATACGCTCAACTTGATTAAAGTCTTCTGTTTTCTCTCACTTTAACAAGTTTGTAAATGTTCTGTTCTCCATCTTTATTATCTAATCTAATACGAAAAGTTATCATAAGCAAAATTTAATTTAGTTTTTGGATGGAGTATTTTCCTACTTTGATAGATTCTGTAGCAGGATTTTTGGGAGGGTTGTATAGTCAAGTGGATTGCTTTTGTTGGCCTTTTTGGGTCTTTCGGCTTCTGTATGTGGTATACCTCACATGTGTGCTCTGTTTTCAGAGCCCTTTAAAAGATCTTTTTGCTCATCAAAAATTAAAAACACACACACAAAAGAAAGGGAAAAAAAAAGAAAGAAAAAGAGAGAAAAAAATTGCTGCATATTATTTTAAATTTTCATCAGCTTGTTCTGATTATGCTCATGACATGGATGTGAAGTAACAAAATGTAAGATTGAACGAAATAGAAATGTAAAAGAGAAAGGTGAAGAAGAAGCTTTATGGTCTCTTGACTAAAAAATAGTCTTATTCAAATCTGCCACGAATCAATGTTTCTGGTCTTTGGCTTTGTTTAGAAGTTTTATTTTAAAGATATTATTATTGCCTAATTTAAACTCTCATGTTGTTAACGTAGATAAACACATGTAATGGGTTTTATTGTGATCGGTTTACACCAAATTCCCCTTCCAAGCCAAAGATGTGGACAGAAAACTACAGTGGATGGTAAAATTATATATCTAGCTTAGCCTATGTAAAAGACATTTGTGACAATTGAAGCATTTTAATTCGTCAAAGAGATGTGAATGCATTTAACGTTCAAAATGATGTTACAGGTTCCTTTCATTTGGATATGCAGTTCCTTACCGACCTGTTGAGGACTTGGCTTTTGCTGTTGCACGCTTTTTTGAAACAGGTGGCACTTTCCAAAACTATTATATGGTGGGCCTCATAAATCTTGTCTTCTTTATTCTAATTGTAATTTGTTAAGCATAAAATTTGACGTTATTACCATAATTTAGTTCTAGTATCTCCTTGCAGTATTTTGGTGGCACCAATTTTGGACGAACAGCTGGAGGTCCTTTGATTGCAACAAGTTATGACTATGATGCCCCACTTGATGAATATGGTAAACTTACTGACATGTGGTCAACACACTCATTGATCTCAGAACTTAAATTCAATCTATTACATTTTTGCTAGATCTGAATGTATGTGTTATATATGTGATGTTTTCAGACATGCGCTTACATATCCAAGGATGCAACTTAGTTCCAAAGTCAATGTGTCTTAAAATCAACTCAACAGTGTCTCAATCCCAATCCTTTGGTTCGGCTACATAGCTCCTTCATCTCAATTCAGCTCTTTATAGGTCCATATCCTTAAATAGATTTGAAGGTCACTTGATCTAACTGTTAGATCATCAATTGTCCCAAAAGCTTAAGCTATAAGGAAATGGGTTCAACAATATATATCAGGTTATCCAACACTAACCCCTTTTTGAAATCTATTCCAACCACATTAATAACCCATCTGATTGTGCAAACCTATGTTACCTGGAATGTGGAACGGGAACGTAGTACGCCATATGCTCTAAAATGTGGTACGATAGGGATAGACTTGTATATATATTATACTTAAGAATTTAAGGTACCGCTAGAGTAATTTTTTTTTTTAACTATTAGATATCTAATAAAATATAATATTTTCTATGAACATTATGACCATTTTTTGATGTTTTTGTCTTGTCAAAACTTAACTCACCCTAAATTTTAGTTCATTATATTTGAATTTTTTCCTCCTAAGGTAACATTTAAGGACATATATTGAAAAAAGCTTTTGGGATCGCTTTGGATCACTAAATTACCATTTTAGAATGAAAGTGTATCATGTTTTAGAACGTGCGTACCAATACGTAGTTCGCTAGGATATTAGCGTTTTCTGGTAACATAGGTGCAAACAACCATCCACTAGTAGGTGAAATCTAGATGTGGCAACTGCCTCTTATTTCCAAGATAAGTTGCTGAGAGATACATGAAATCTATTTATTCTGCTTTTTCAAGATCAACCTTGGAAATACCCCTTTAGTTTGTCACAAGGTTTTGCTGTTGGCATCAGAGTTATGGCTGCCCCTGTAGTTTGTGGCTATGAGGCATAGTTACTTTGAAAATATTGCCAACCGATGCTTACCCTGTATGGGCACGTGTACCATATGGATGCATGTGTTCATGAAATACATATCTGATATACAAAATACTTTGGGTATGGCTTGGGTAGATTTTAGGTGCTTTTGTAGGTATGTCAGGCATAATTTTTTTTTATTAAAAATACAGGGGAATTGTATTGTGTCTATTTTTTAAAACATTAAAAATATATGGTATTTTTGTAATTATCAACAATATAAAAATGCTTAGGGTTCTCTTTTTGACCATTGCAAGAAATTTTAATTGTTTTTTGCATTTGATTTTTAAATGCTATATATCATGTACTATTACAAATTGTAAAAATATATTTTTTGGGCTGCGCTTCCTCCAGTCTAAGATTTGGATTGGAGGGTGCTGTCTGAGCCCACCACGGACAATTTGAATCGTTCAATTTGTCGGACCCTTTGTGTTTATTATTTATGCAAAAATTATGTCGATCCAATAATCATAGCCTATTTAATTTGTTGCATTTGTCTACAAAAAAATTTATGGCAAGTGTATTTTTGAAAATAGACCATCCATTTTTTGAGCAAGCTACGATTATCGGACGACCTAATTTTTGTGTTGGTGCTATACATGAAAGGCTATACAAAATGAATGGTTTAGATCATCGAAATGTTACCCGTGGTGATCCCCAGGGACCCAAACAACATCCTCCAGTCTAGATCTGGGCTGCAGGCAATCCAGACCCTATTTTTTTATGGACGTACCCGGCCATTCCAGTATCCTTCTTTTTTTTAAAAAATTCGTGTCGACGTTTCCGTAATGTACCTGTACCCGCTTTTGTACTTGTACCCGTGCTTCCTAGATTTGTGGCCTTTTCCTATTTCTGTTCTTTCTTCTTGGGAAAGATTATTTCCTAATTCTTTATTTGAATATATTTGCGTGCTTCCTATTAAATTTTTTTTTCTGGTTCTATATAAATTACTAAGTTCCAATCAACTATCATCTGTCTGGATGCCACTCAGGTCCTTGAATGATGGTCCACAGCAAGGTAAACATATGATATCATTTGTGATAATGTTGAGCTGGCCATCTAAATGATGTTGTATTTGACATGTAATTGCTTTATTTACTAATGTTCAAAAGAGAAGCTATGATCAATTTGGAGTATAGTACCACATACGTGACAATTAATTTATCAACTGCTTCACCTCCATGCCTATTTCTGTGTACGTTACAAGAAACTACCTATGCAGGTTTTATTAGGCAGCCAAAGTTTGGGCACCTCCGTGACTTGCACCTAGCAATAAAGCAGTGTGAAGAATATTTGGTCAATGCAAATCCAATCCAACAGTCCCTTGGTAGGAATTTAGAGGTATGCCAGAAGTTTAGATGTGTACTTCAATGAATGTATATAGCTCGCCTGATGGTGAGTAGTATTTAAAATGACACCAAGTTTCCCCCCACCCAAATCTCTGTAAATCTAAGATAGTGTCGGGTATATAAATTAAAGTGGACATAAGTTTGAGTGATTGCCCCTATTTAGGTGCTCACTACCATCATTTTTAAAAATATTTTATTGACTATGTCACTATGACTCTCTATAAATTTCATGATTGGTTGCTCACTCTTTTAACTATCTTTTTGACAATTAATTTGGTTATCAGGCACACGTCTACTACAAAACTTCCAATGACTGCGCAGCCTTTCTTGCTAACTATGACAGCAGTTCAGGTGCAAATGTCACATTTAATGGGAATTCATACTTCCTTCCAGCTTGGTCTGTGAGCATTCTTCCAGACTGCAAGAATGTCATTTTTAACACAGCTAAGGTACACCCATTAATGGCATCTTAATATATGAATAAATGAGTTTACTGCCCAATGCCTGTGGAGCTCATATTTATTTTTCCCCTTTTGATACCAATGGATTATGATATGTTGTGAAATTAGGGTATCAAAGTTTCCACGCAAATTGGATACTGCTACTAAATGTTGCACGAAGTTTTCATTCATAACCGAAAAGGATCCCAGTTCATGGTCTCTACCCTATGCACAGATGTCTCAGTAATATTATATTATTATCAGCCTTAATAAGCAGTAAAAAATGCATTAAGCCATTTGAAGTAGCATGGCCTTCATGAGGATTTCCTTGAATACTTGATGGGCAAAATAATATGATGATTTACTTTTATTTTAAATATTATGAAATAGAAATGAAAAAGATGAAAGACAGAAGATAGAATATAGGAGAATAATGAGATAAGATTAGGAGAATGACATAAAGAAGCGAGAAAAAGAGGAAGCGAGAAAAAGAGATAGCAAGAAAGTCAAAAAGGCATTGAGGAGACAAGTGAAAAAATAACACTAAATCAGTGACTCAAAAACACGAGACTAACTGCTTAGTAAGACTAATCAATTTGTTATTTTTTCGTGGGTCCTACATCAGTTGGGTTGCACCATCATTACTCACACAAACTCTTTTAATTGAGTTCATTCTTCATTAATGCCATGATTCTTGGACTCGATACTAATCTATAGAATTTAGGGATTTAACGTTTCACCTCAATCAATCAGATGAATGCCAGCAAGGTTACATTTTCTTTTAAACAAGGGGTTAGTTCTACTGCGGACTTGTCAATAGATGGATGTGATAATTTTAGAGAATACCAAGATTAGAGAATGATTGTGATATCATCTCCCTTTTATATTAATGAAGATTAATAATTACAAGGGAGCCCTAAGACATAGAATAATTACAATAAAAAAATAACCCAACTAATAATATGCTATTCTAACATTCCCCGTCAAGTTGGTGCGAAAATATCTCTCATGCCCAACTTGCCTAGGATGTCACGCAATGGCTTACTCTCAACTCCCTTGGTAAGGATGTCAGCGAGTTGTTCACCAGACTGCACAAATGTAGTACATATTGTGCCGCTAGTGAGTTTTTCCTTAATAAAGAGGTGATCAATCTTAACATGCTTTGTCTTGTCATGTTAAACCGGATTGTGAGCGATGTTGATGGCGGCCTTATTATCACAGTATAATCGATGGAGTCCGTCTGATCAATACCTAGATGACTCGACAATAACTTGATCCATAAGAGCTCACACACCCCTTATGCCATAGTTCTAAACTCAACTTTTGCACTTGACCTGGCAACCACATTCTGTTTTATACTCCTCCAAGTAACTAGGTTGCCTCCAACCAAGGTGCAATACCCTGAAGTCGATCTCCTATCAGTTGCTGATCCAGCCTAGTCAACATCTGTATAAGCTTCCACACGAAGATGATCATGCTTTAAAAAATAGAACCCTTACCAAGAGCAGACTTCAAGTACCTCAAAATTCTTATGACAGCCTCAAAGTGAATCTGATGAGGAGCATGCATAAACTGGCTAACCATACTGATAGCAACAGCAATATCAGGACGAGAGTGAGATAGGCAGATGAGCTTACTCACTAATCGCTGATAGCTCCCTCTATCAACAGCTGCTCCTCCTTCATCATTCCCTAGTTTCTGATTGGATTCCAGTAGAGTGTCACAGGCATTGCAACCAAGCATCCCTGTTTCTTTCAACAGATCAAGCACATACTTCCTTTGTGAGATAAATATCCCATCCTTAGAGCGAGCAACTTCAATTCCCAGAAAATACTTCAAGCTCCCCAGGTCTTTTTCAAACCCACTTGCTAAATATTTCTTCTACAGAGGGATTTCCTCACTATTATCACCTATAAGAACTATGTCATCCACATAAATAATGAGCGTTGTAGTCTTACTGCGTGATGAATGTTTTCACAAATAAGGTGTGATCTGCCTGACTCTGTTTGAAGCCATATTTTAGCATAGCCTGAGTGAATCTCTCAAACCAAACCCTTGGAGACTGTTTGAGACCATATAATGACTTCTAAAGCCGGCATACTTTACCCTCTGTCTGATGATCCTCAAAATCAGAAGGAATGTCCATATATACCTCTTCTTCTTAGTCACCATGGAGAAAGGCATTCTTTACATCAAACTGATGAAGTGGCCAATTTAGATTAGCTGCTAGAGAGAGATGTACTCTGACTGAATTCATCTTAGCCACGGGTGCAAAGTCTCCTGATAGTCAACGCCATATGTCTGAGTTAACCCTTTTGCCACAAGTCTAGCCTTGTAACACTCAATAGAACCATCCGCTTTGTGTTTCACAGTATACACTCATTTGCATCCCACAGGTCGTTTACCCTTAGGTAACTCAGTCAATTCCCAAGTGCCATTCTTCCTGAGTACTTTCATTTCCTCAATCATGGCAAGTTTTCACTAAGAGGTAGCAAGAGCATCTTAAAAATGGTTAGGAATGTTAGAATTTACCAATTTACTTCTCCACCTACCATCTCCACTAGCACCCACTTCACCTACCACCTCCACTATACTACACCTACTACCACCTTCTTTTCTATATATAGGAGTTGTAATACATAACACAATAACACAACAATCTTGTAATATCAATCAATCAATAAATCAATAATACATAAATTTCAACTAGGAATGCTAACAGAAGAAATATTTGATACAAAAGCTCTATATGAGGATGACAAATGAGAGTAGGACACAAAATTTAAGATAGGATGTTGAGTACAAGATCTCACACCCTTTCTCTTGGCAATAGGAACATTAAGATCAATACGAGTATCAAGATCAGTGGACTCAAGAGATTCAAAATTACTTGAACTCTCATCAGAAGCAGGAGATGGCAATGGGTGAGTAGAAGTGTTCTCTTGTGTCCAGTTAACTTTCTGTTTGTCTTTGTCCATGACATAAACTTGTCCTTCCCTATCCTTGGTGACATTGGGTTCTGTAGTCCCAGTAAGAGGTGGTGGTTCAAGAACAATTGGTTCCACTATAGGAATCACAGGCATCACTTCACACTAAGGCTCCCCTTGAAGGGAGGACTGTGACACCGGAGAGGACAAGAAATAGGATTGGGATGACATCTGTGGACAAAAACCATTTACGAGAAGGAGGGTGATAACACTTATACCCCTTTTGAGTAGGAGAGTACCCAAGGAAAACACATTTGAGGGAGCGAGGGTCCAACTTACCACGAGTAGGAGAGTGATTGTGGATAAAACAGACACAGCTAAATATTTTGGGAGGAACAAAAAACAAGGACTCGGAACCTAGAAGGGCTTGAAGGGGAGCTTGTTTGTGCAAGACCTAGGTAGGAAGATGATTAATAAGATGGGCAGCGGTGAGAACAACGTCGCCCTAGTGGGATCGAGGCACATTCCTAGAAAAACACATGTACTGAGCCATGTCAAGAAAATGACGATTCTTGCATTCCGTCACCCCATTTTGTTGAGGGGTATTGGTGCAAGAGGTCTGATGGATAATGTTATGGGCAGAAAAATATTACCCTAACTTAGAATCTATGTATTCCCCCCATTATTAGAATGGAAGATTTTGACAGTGGCCCCAAACTGAGTACAAATCATCTTATGAAAATTGCGGAATATAGAGAAAACCTCACTCTTGTCTTTCATGAGATACACCCAGTAGTACGAGGAAAATCATCAATAAATGTAACAAACCATCTACGACCTTTCACAGACATAATGTGAGATAGACCCCAGACATCAGAATATATTAATGAAAAAGGAATTAAACTTTTATTAAAACTGAGAGCAAAAGAAGCTCTGTGTTATTTTCCAAGTTGACAAGACTCGCAAAGAAACTCAGACACATTGTTGTTTGCAAAAACAGATGGAAATAAATGCTTAAGTAAATAAAAAGAAGGATGCCCAAGATGCAGATGCGACTATTAACAGATGACAAAACTTGTGTCAATTGATTAATCAAAAGAAGTACAAATATATAAGCAATAGGATGAAACCCTAATAACCTAAAGTACTAAACTATCCTGAATGAATAATATAAACTACATAATTCACACCTCCCCTCAAACTGAGGATGCGAGCGCAGAAAGCATCAAAAGTTTGCCAAGAAGAAAATGAAAACGAGCAACAGTATGAGTCTTCGTAAAAAAATCGGCCAACTGAAGAGATGAGGGAACAAAAGGGAGAGTAATAGTGCCAGCCTGAAGATGCTGTCTAACAAAGTGACAATCTATTTCAACATGCTTGGTCCGCTCATGAAAGATGGAATTATGGGCAATCTGGACAGCACTCTGATTATCACAATACAACGGAGTCGGATCAGAAAGAGAGACACCCATATCAGAAAGAAGCCAGCGAAGCCAAACGATCTCGGAAGTAGCATGAGCTATGGCACGATACTTAGCCTCAGCAGTGGAACGAGCAACGACAGACTGTTTCTTACTTTTCCAGGATATGAGGGAATCGCCAAGGAAAACACAAAGACCAGAAGTGGATTTGCGATCAGAGATGTCACCTGCCCAATCAGCGTCAGCATAGGCACGAAGAGTCAAGTCTGAAGAGGTAGATAACAGTAAACATTGCAACAAAGTGCCACGAAGGTAGCGCAAAGTACGAAGTAAGGCAGCCCAGTGTGTGGAACGAGGAGCAGAAACAAATTGACTGAGAATGTGCACAGCATAGGAGATATCCGGACGAGTAACGGTGAGATAAACAAGGCACCCAACCAACTCGCGAAACAAAGTGGAATCCTCAAGAGGAACGTCATCAGAAGCAGAAAACTTAGCATGCAACTCAAGAGGAGTGTCAACAATTTTCTCATCAGTGAGATTGGCACGAGAAAGAATATCACGGGCATATTTAGTCTGAGAGAAAAGATACCCAGTAGGAGAAGTAGCAACCTCAATACCAAGAAAATACCGAAGAAACCCCAAATCCTTCATCTCGAACTCCTGAAACAACTGATGCTTAACCTCCTCAATAGTACTATAATCAGAGCCAGTGATGATCATATCATCCACATATAAGAGAAGGAGAACAAGCCCAACAGAAGTGTGCCGAACAAAGAGAGCACAATCATGATGACTAGGGCGAAAACCAAGCTGAAGGGCAACAGAGTGAAATCGTTCATACCAAGCACGAGGAGACTGCTTAAGACCATATAGAGCACGGCGAAGACGACAAACAACACTAGGAGGGTGAGAGAGACCTGGTGGAGGGCGCATATACACTTCTTCAGCAAGATGCCCATTCAGAAAAGCATTTTTGACATCTAGTTGAAACAGGGGCCAATGATGGGCAGCGACAACAGAGATAAGAGTACGAACAGTAGTCATCTTGGCAACGGGGGCAAAAGTCTCATCGTAATCAATCCCATACTCCTGAGAAAAGCCTTAGGCAACTAGACGAGCTTTGTACCGTTCCAAAGACCCATCAGAAAGGGTTTTGACCTTATAGACCCATTTACAGCCTACAACATTCTTATCAGCAGGTAATGGAACCAAATCCCAAGTCTGAGTGTTAGCCAAAGCAGTTAACTCATCATTCATGGCGGCAATCCAATTGGGATCATGACAAGCTTCCTTGTAAGACCTGGGCTCAAAATATGTATGAAGACAAGAAAGAAAAGACTGATAGGAAAGGGAAAAACATGTATTACCAAAACCATACCAGTTCGGAGGATGACGATCTCGCTTTGGGAAGCGATGTGCAGGAGGAGCGGGATCCAAAGAAACAACTGGAGGGACAGTAGAGCTAGAGACAGGTGAGCTCGGAAGTGCTTTACGGCGTTGATAAACAATAAGAGGAGCAGGAGAAGCGGGAGCTAGAGATAAGGTAGTTGGAGAGGTATTAGAAGTGCTAGTAAGAGGCAAAGCAGAGACCTCAAGGTCAGAAACAAACTCATCTGGAGAAACATTAGGAGGAAATGGGTCAACATGAACCAATTCATCCTTAGTAATAGGAACAGGGGTGGAAGGTATAGTGTAGTAGGGTAGTTTTTCTAAAAAAGTGACATGCCTAGACACATATAGCTTTTTGGTGACAGAATCATAGCACCGATAACCTTTCTGATTAATGCCATACCCTAAAAAGACACATAGGACACAACGAGAACTAAGCTTAGAGCGCGCCCGTTTAGGCAGGAGCACAAAGCATGCAGAACCAAAAATACGAAGAAGAGAATAATTGGGAGTAACCCCAAAAAGATGCTCATACGGAGATGAGCCTGAGAGAAGAGGAGTAGGCATCCGATTGAGAAGATATACAACAGTGAGCACAGCTTCTCCCCAGAAAACAGAAGGACAAAAGATGAGAGCAACAAAGAGCGAGCTGTATCAAGGAGATGGCAATGTTTGCGCTCAACTCGACCATTTTGTGCAGGAGTGTCAGAACACGAAGACTGATGAATAGTTCCATGAATAACTAAATACTCCTCAAATTCAGACAAGTAATACTCACCCCCCAAATCAGAACGAAGAATTTTAATGGTGGTAGAAAACTGAGTGCGAATCATGGAGTGAAAATTAGAATATATTTTGTAAAAATCAGATTTTCGAGTTATTAAATAAACCCAAGTAAACCGACTGTAATCATCCACAAAAGCTACATAATATTGCGAACCACCCTTGGTAACTATAGGGGAAGGACCCCAAACATCAGTATGGACCAATTGAAAAGGAGAAAATGAAATAGAACTACTTTTATTAAAAGGAAGAGCAGACATTTTAGCCAGTTTACAACCACGACACTCAGAAATATCACTAATGGAAAAATTGCCTAAATGTCCAGACCTAACTAACATCCTCAACCGATCACTCGACAGATGACCTAACCTAGAATGCCAAATATATAACAAAGAGGACTTATTGTTTAAACAAAAAGAAGACAATGCAGTAGAAGACACTTCTAGAGGAACATGTAAGCTGTCCAAGATGTATAGTTCTCCAACTCTACGCCCGATCCCAATCTGCCTCTTGGATACCCGGTCCTGTACAACACAATGAGAAGAAGAGAAAACAACATCAAAATCGGAATCAGATAATTGACTAATAGAAATAAGACTGAGGGAGAGGTTAGGCACATAAAATACAGGAGAAAGAGACAAATGGGAACAAGAAATAGAACCAACAGAGTGTACAGGCATAGAAGAACCATTAGCAGTAGCAATAGTGATAGAAGAAGAAGGAGAGACACACTTACTGAGGAGAGATGCAACCGGGATCATATGATGTGAACAACCAGAATCAAAGATCCACGAAGTATAGATATTACCTGAAGAGGATGAACCAGACAAACCGAACTGAGTGGTAGTCATAGCGGAGGCTTGGGACGAAAGATTTGGATTGGCCACCATGAAAGACTTGAACTGCTCAAACGTAGACTGCATATTGAAAGATGGATCATTCTCAGAAACTGGTGCAGAAAAGGCGGCAGATGAGCGAGATCCTGAAAATGTCGGCTTAGCGAATGGTGAACCAGATGAACGACCCTTGGGCTGCAAAAGTTTAGGACATGCATGTTTCCAATGATCTTTCTGATGACAGAAGCTGTACTCATCCATGGAAACTCGAGGCTTGGGCTTACCAGTAACTTGAAATAAATGAGAAGATGGGGTGGGCAAGAGCGGAGGAGTGGCAAAAACTGACTGGGAAGCAGGAGTACCATGAGCCACCTTAAACCGAGTTTCTTCCGCAATAAGCTCACGGACAGCACCATCCATAGAAGGCAAGGGAGACCGATGAAGAATAGTTCCCCGAAGTGGCTCAAATTGATCACAAAGGGCCATGAGAAATTGAACAAGATGTTGTTTCTCCCGATACTTGATATAACTGTCAAGTAGCTGCAAATCGGACGGTTCCATCAAAGCTAGCTGATCCCAATAAGTAGTCATCTCATTGTAGAACTCCTGAATGGACTTATCTTTCTAACTAGCACTGCGAATAGACATCTCAAGTTCATACTGTTTTGCAAAGTTAGACTCAAGGTACATAGTCTTCAAATAGTCCCAAACTTGTTTAAAAGTAGAATACTTGGAAAAATTCATACCAATGGTAGTTTGAACTGAATTATGAAACCAAGTAAGAATTTGTGCATTTTCTTTATCACATTTAGCAACATCGGCCACAGTTTCTTGAGATTCCACAGGTCTAATAGTTATACCAATAACATAATTCCACATGCCTTTACCCATTATAAAATTTTTCATCACATGAGACCAATAAGAATAATTGGTACCATCTAATTTAGTAGTAATAGCTTGCAATTTATCATCAGCCATATTGTATACCCAAACTACAGTGCATTCAAAACAGAGTAAAAGGCAGTAGAGAAGAGAGAAAGAGATGCTCGACCTGTGAAGAGTAGCGATGTTTGGTCCTCGTCCTCAACTGAACCAGACAAAGATCGAGACCAGCGATGAAGACAAAGATAGAGACCAACGATGAAGGACCACAGACCAGAGCGATGAAGGACTACAGATCAGTGAGATACCCAACCTAGGTCTTCGAGTGGACCAGAGACCAGTGACGAAGGACCACAGACCAGCGATGACGGCTTCCTAAGGTTTCGATTGAACCAGAACCAACTGCTTCGGTGATGACCTACGAATGCGACAGATCATCGAAGCCTTGCAATGAAGCCTTGCGAAGAGGAAGAAAGAGCTGCGACAACAACCTTGCGAAGAACGACTGCGACAGGTATGCTGATGTTTGAAACTTAGCTCTGATACCATGTTAACAGATGACAAAACTTGTGTCAATTGATTAATCAAAAGAAGTACAAATATATAAGCAATAGGATGAAACCCTAATAACCTAAAGTACTAAACTATCCTTAATGAATAATATAAACTACATAATTCACAGTGACAGCCATAAATCATCTGTGGTAGTAGGACTCGTGGTGGAAGAATAAGCAAGCGTATCCGATTGATCCAGGAAGTCAAGACCATTTTTTTGCACTACCACTACTAATCGTCCTCCTGGTGACAAGGTCCTGAAAAAGACAATGATCAGGAAAAAAAGTCACACTCCAATTCAAATCCTTTGTAATACGACTCAAGGATAACATGTTAACAGAAAAATTGGGAACATGGAGAACAGAAGATAGAGTTATGGTAGGAGTGACATGGACTAAATCTTTTCCAGAAATAGATGAAACAGTACCATCGGTAATCCTAATTTTAATTTGACCTAAAGAGGGCTTATAGACAGAGAAAAGGTCAAAGGACCTAGACATATGATTTAAGGCACCAGAATCAATAATCTAGGGCAAAGATTTATATAAAAGAAAAACACGAGGAGAAGAGGCTAAGTTACCTGAGCGGGCAAACGACGAGGAAATGTACTGAAAGTAGTAGAAGATCGGCGGTCTAGCAAGTGACGTAGAACATCCTCAAGCTCATGAGTAGTCATGCCAGAGAGATCATTAGTAGCCTGGCTAACGAAAGCAGAAGTAGAATCAAGTGTATCAACGACACTAGACTGATGAGCCCGTAGATGAGAGCCATGTCCTCTAGACTGGCTTGACCGACCTCTTCTAGAACCAGACCGATCACCTCGGCCCCCAGATGGAGTCCTATGAAGCTTCCAACATGTCTCACGAGTATGCCACGGCTTGCGACAGTAATCACACAATACAGACTCCTTGGCGGCAGACGAAGGCATGGGAGTCGGGCTAAGGTCATCTCTTGGGGTAGACAATAATGCTAAGCGGTCAGTAGAGACAGGTGACATCATAGCAGACCAGCAACTCTTCTCATTCTGTACATAAGCGAATGCCTTCTGAAGTGAAGGAAGGGTGTCCATACCCAGAACCCGACTCCGAATAGGATCATACTCCACATTGAGACCTACCAGAAACTTGGAGACCCTTTCCTGTGCAATGAACTTCTTGTACCCGACTGAATCAGCAGTGCACACAGGCTTATAGTCCTGCAGGTGATCAAGGTGTTTCTAGCCGTTGGTGAGGAAGGTGAAGTACTGAAGAACAATTTGCTCCCTCTGGACAAAGCTCTCAATAGAGCGGCGCAACTCAAATGCTTGTGAGAAATTCCCTTTGTGGGAATAGGTGGCAGCCACAGCATCCCAAATATCCTGGACAGTCTCCATAAACAAGTAGCTTTCTCCAATTTCTGGTACCATCGAATGAATAAACCAACCCATAATAAAAGAGTTGGTAATCTCCCATTGGTCATAACCGGGGTCAATAGTTCTGGGTGCTTGTATCCTGCCATCAACATACCCCATCTTCCCTCTGCTCTTCAAAAAAATAGTCAAACTCTGCGACCACGCTAGATAGTTTTGATCATTAAATGGAGAGGTGATGATTTTAAGACTAGGGTTGGGGTTATCCGTCATAGTAGTAGGTAGAATGAAACTCTCACTCCTAGGTGTCTGAGAAGTAGTGGACACATTGGTGGAATCTGCCATGGAAACTGTACTACCGAATCCTCAACAAAACTAGTACTAATTACAAACTCAGAAAGTGGTGGTGGAAGGAAAGACACAACTACCACTATAAAAGCATAAAGAATTAAGAACTCATATTTTTATTTTTAGAGAATAAAGAGACTAGGGTACCAATATCAAGTTACAAGTCTACGAAGAAGCAGAGGACCTAGTCAAACAGAATGTGGTCGAAGAATGGTGACAGGAAAAAAACGAGATTGGTTGTTGTATGAGGCCAAAGAAGACATAGGGGTTGTCGGCTGGGCCAGAAAAGCCGTCACTAGTGGTCGACTAGGCCAAAAGGCTTGTCAGCAAAGACCAACAAGGGACGTCGATGCCTGCTGTGAGGATGTTGACCAACCCAGATAAGGTTCAAACCCTAGGGTGATCTTCGATACTGATGTTGATCAACCTGGGTGAGTTTTGAACCCTAGACGGACATCAACTCAGAGCCGAAACCACCTGAGTCTTTCTCGATGTGAGCTGAAACCCCTCAAGGTGGAGTCGGCTGCTGAAGGGTAGTTGTTGGCGGCGTGGGATATCTCCGGCTGATGGCTGGTGGCTCCAGTGAGTAATAGGAACTATATGGATCGATGGGTTTAGGTTTTAGGGTTAGGCTCTTATACCATGATGATTTTAGAGAATACCAAGATTAGAGAATGATTGTGATATCATCTCCCGTTTATATTAATGAAAATTAATAATTACAAGGGAGCCCTAAGGCATAGAATAATTACAATAAAAAAATAACTCAACTAATAATATGCCATTCTAACAGGATGCGTAACAAAAAACACTTAGAAAAAAACACAGGTGCCTAATTTTTTAGTTCTTAGCGGTGTAAAACGGTCTTAATATAATGCATAAAGAAATTTTTGCTAATACAAGCTTTGTCTGCTTAAGTATAACAATAACTATGAGATTCAGGCTAATGTTTGGGACTCTCATGTGGTGCCCTAGGGGAATTCTCGATGTCCATGGAAATCTATCTCTCAAGCCCTTACTCTTTTTTCTTGGGTTACTCATTTTATTGAGGGAAATGGGGAGTTCATTCGATTTGGGTAGGATGCTTGAAAGAGCGAGGTTTCTTTGAGTCTTTTGTCCCCTCTATTGCTTTGTTTGTCTCATTCCCATAATGTTTCTATTTCTCCCATGTCTTGTTCTCATTTCTCCCCCGATTTCTTGGAATTTTAATTTCTTCAAGAATGTCAATGATTGTGAGGTTAATGACTTGGATTCTTTGGTGTCTGTCCTTGATGATGTTTGTTAGAATTTACCATCACCTACCACCACCTACTCCTCACCTACTACACTCACCCTCTCCTATATAATGAGCCACTCACCATTTGTAATACACAACAACACAATATATCTATCAATAATACATCATTTTTAACATGGTATCAGAGCAAGGTTAAGACCTTCGTATTTCTCGCTTCACCGGCGGGCGGCAACCTCGCCTTGGCCGCCCGCCGGACCTCAACCTATTCCGCCGGACCTCTACACATACCTTTCATCTGCTGCCACAAATCCCATAACTGAATCATCGGAATAGTCGCCGTCGTCCACGGCTTCACCGGCGAGTCAAGCTGGCTCATTCAGCTCACCTCCGTTCTCTTCGCCAAGTCCGGCTTCGCCACTTGTGCCATCGATCACCAAGGCCCACGGCTCTCTCTCAGGTAGACCTTGCATTGACACTAATGCTTCCAGGTAGACCTTCCCACAAAATTGCTGCTCAGTTGCACATCACTGGACCCGTGGACCAGAGATCTCAAACTTTCAGAAGCTGCATTTTGTTTGAAAAGGCAACTGCAATCCAATCAGGCAGCGCCGCTGACCACTGAAGCTGGTTAATCTCATCCCCAGCAGCGCAAATATGGCGATGACTCTGGGGAGCCCAAGCGATGTCGTAAACCTCTTTATCGTGGGCAATCAACTGGGTTTCAACAACTCGTCCATTTCGATGTTTGGTGAACCTTTTCCCCACCAAAGATCATCCTCAGTAGTTTCGTCTCTGACGATGCGTTTGTCCTTGGGGGACCTCCCAGTCTTAGCTCCAGAGAGAGTAGCCAATGCTCCGTTTGACGTTATGAATGATCCTTTCTCATACTTTATTGCTTGCTCATATAGCTCTGCTGCCATGAGAAAAGTGATGGCCGGAACAGAGTTCTGTATGGCAGAAGCAAAGGTGGGTGTTGTGTTGTCTCGAATCTCTGGTCTCTCTCTCTCTCTCTAATAATCAACCCATATGCCCCCACATGCCCCCCACGATATTTCCCTTTTATTCCCACTTCCGTTTACGGTGTTGTTTTTTTTTTTTTTTTTTTTTTTTTTTTTTTTTTTTTTTTTTTTTTTTTTTTTTTTTTTTTTTTTTTTTTTTAAAAAAAAAAAAAAAAAAAAAAAAAAAAAAGCCCCACATGGGCATGTCCCTCCGCCATATGCTACTAAAGCAATTTGGTATGTTCTATTATAATATATTATATTATTATAGTATGATATATTACATTGGCCATTAGGTATCCTGCTGGTTTTGCCCACACTCATACTCTTTTTTATTTATTTTATTTTATCTTCTTTCTTTCAACAAAAATAAATAAATAAAACAATTCACACATTCTCACCCTTTTTTTTTTTTTTGCATGTCCTTCCTACCATCCGGGTTTGCACAACACATTTATTTTATTCATATCCGGGGATCAACCCCGATCACAATTTTACACCAAAAAAAAAACAAACAAACACACCCACACACACAACAACCTCATCCACAGGCGGGATTTTTCTTCTCTACTCTGCCGCCGGGCTTTTCTTCTTGCCTCCGTCCTGGGCGGCCCTTGCCGGTGTTGCCTCCGTGTCACCCACTCCACTGGGCACGATCACTACTCCCTGCTCCTCCACTGCAGCATATGGCGGCCCTCCAAATCGGAACATCACGGTGGCCTTCCGCTTCAGCTCCTTGTTTTCTGACTTTAGCACACTTATCTCTACTCGCGCATCCTTATACAAATCGGAACATCACGGTGGGCTTCCGCTTCAGCTCCTTGTTTTCTGCCTTTAGCACGCTTATCTCTGCTCGCGCATCCTTATACATGCGTTGGAGCAGAGCCAGCTGGGAGTTTAACTGCTGCACCTCATTTGCCCTACTCTGCAGCCGGTTCGACAAGTTTGTGACCGCCGTCATGCTTTCCACACATGCCTTCAACGTATACTGATTGGCCTCCACATCCGACAGCACTGCCATTCTTTGCTCCACAGACCGCATCGGAAAGTTCAACGGAGCAAACTCCGGGGCACTTGGTTGAGGTTCCAGTGCCACCGCTCCAGTAATCTCTCTTGTTGACTCGTTGAGGTCGGGAAAGAGGGTGAGCAGACCGCGGGAAGACGAAGCCATTTTCTGGGCAACAAAGTGTTACAGACTATTTTCTGGGCAACAGAGTATTACAGACTATCTCTCTCAGCAAACGGAACTATCTTTCTCAGCAACACGAAGGATTTTTCAAAGGTTTCTCTCAGTTTTTCTCTGCCTCAGCCTCTGCCTTCGTCTTGGTTATATAGCCAAGGCAGACACGCGCATCGCGCGATGCCAGCCGACAACATGGGCGCGCTAGCCAAGGCACTCCCGTGCCTCGCCATCATGTCCGGCACACCTTTTGATGATTGGACACGCCTTTTGATGGCACGCCGTTTGATGAAGTGGGCGCGCCTTTTGAGGGCGCGACTTTTGAGGCCTCACTATATATATCCATATATATATATATATATGGGCAGCCTATATACACCATCATACAGTGTATTTTTTAAGGGTCCGACAAGACTCTGTAAACTGTCCCGACATTAATTCCGGTTAGCTCCTTAATGGGTCCGACAAGACTCTGTAAACTGTCCCAACATTGATTCCAGTTAACTCCTTCATGAGTCCGACAAGACTCTGTAAACTGTCCCAACATTGATTCCAGTTAACTCCTTCATGAGTCCGACAAGACTCTGTAAACTGTCCCAACATTGATTCCAGTTAACTCCTTCATGAGTCCGACAAGACTCTGTAAACTGTCCCAACATTGATTCCAGTTAACTCCTTCATGAGTCCGACAAGACTCTGTAAACTGTCCCGACATTGATTCCGGTTAGCTCCTTAATGGGTCCGACAAGACTCTGTAAACTGTCCCAACATTGATTCCAGTTAGCTCCTTCATGGGTCCGACAAGACTCTATAAACTGTCCCAATATTGATTCCGGTTAGCTCTTTTATGGGTCCGACAAGACTCTGTAAACTGTCCCGACATTGATTCCGTTTTTTTTTTATGTATTTTCTTGTTTTGTTCCTCTCTTCAAACTCAAGTTGGTTAGTTTCTATCCTCCTTGAGTTTGCGGGGGGCTGTTAGAATTTACCATCACCTACCACCACCTACTCCTCACCTACTACACTCACCCTCTCCTATATAATGAGCCACTCACCATTTGTAATACACAACAACACAATATATCTATCAATAATACATCATTTTTAACAATGTTTCCTCGAGACATGATGCTAGAGACAAGAGGGAGTGGACTATTCATTTTCCTGGGGTACTTTCTTTCTTGTAAATCATTTTTTGATAAGGTCATTGATAATCCAGATGTACAAAGTTTTGGCCCTCATAAAGCAATTTGGAATTCATTTGTGCCTCTTGAAGTTAAAGTTTTTGTTTGGTTTTTGGCTCATGAAAAGCTCAACACCAATGAAATGATTCAGAAAATGAGGCCTACGGTCATTTACTTCCACAATGGTATATTATGTCTAGGAGGGATGAGGAAAGATTGACCATCTATTTTTGGCATTGTCCTATGGCTATGATTCTATGGTATAAACTGTTTAAGTTAGTGGGAGATGGTTGGCTGCCTCTTTTGAGTTTTGTTCCACTGCTCGGGATTAATTAGAGGGTTCTTGGCAACAATAAAAAGGCGTGTGTTCTTTGGAGCTGTATGCTTTGGGTGATTTGGTTGAAGGCAATAATTTTTTAGGATAAGTTTGAAGATCTTGAAGGCTTAGGGGATAGAGTTTGTTACTCATCTTCCTTTTGGGTTTCAGTGATAATACCTTTGAAGAGGACTCCTCTGTTATTGATTAGTAGAGATTGGACATATGAGAGCTATTTTCGACTTGTATTCTTGATTCTCTCTTTTTTCTGTTGTTTTTGGTGGTTCTCTTGTCCCTGGTTGTAACTTTTTGTCCATAAAATTGTGTTGCTTATCAAAAAAATAAATAAATAAAAAGAAAAAGAAAAGCTTTGCCTGCTTATCAAAATTTTGTGTTTCTTTTATTGTGTAAAATTGTAAATCATTTGTTCTTCTGCTCTTCTCCGAATTTATATCGCTGCACAAAATATAAAACTATGTATGAATATTTGTGTCTATACTAAATAAGCATACACATTCCATGCTCTTATCTTATTAAATCTGTTCCTTTCATTGATTATGAACCAGGTTGTTTCACAAAGAACTCGTGATGATGTTGCACTTTCTCGCAGTACCAGTGTCAGTGAACTTTCACTGGCATCAGTAAAATGGAGTTGGTATAAAGAAAAAGTGGGTATTTGGGGTAACAACTCATTTACCAAATCAGAGTTAGTGGAGCAGATAAATACAACAAAAGATACTAGTGATTTTCTATGGTATACAACAAGGTAACTCATCTGAAAATGTTTGCTGAAAAGTTGATAATACATTGGCAGAAAGTCTTAAAAAATTATGTCAATCCATCAAATCATAGTGCTGGCTGGCTTCAAATTTACTTTGGAATTTGGATAAACTTGATCTAATGCGATCTTATTGTAAATCTGGCATTCAAGAAATTCTATTTCATTTCCGTGTTATTTTTATTTTCTTTCAGTGAACACATGAGTCTATGATTTGACATTTAGATGATTGGAGATGTGCTGATGTACTACTCTGTAATTCTTTTCCATTTTTGGAAACTACATGTTTCTTTTGTGGGAAAATAGAAAATCTTGGTGTCAGATAAGAAACAGATAGAGCATCAACTTTTTGAATTCCTTTCTCTATCTAAACTGTTTTCCATACTGGATCTTATTTTACATATTGATGTATTTAATCTTTGGTGGTTTTGCCTTATTCGTTGCTTGATGATTTGTAGTCAGATTTTTTGGATATTTAAACTGCTGCTGTTCTTCTCTGTTTTGGCAGTATAAATATGAATGAGAACGCTAAGCTAGGTCAGGACGTATTTTTGCTTATTGAAAGTTTGGGACATGCAGCTCTTGTTTTTGTCAACAAAAAAGTAGTAGGTTGGTAATTCTACCATATGCAATGAACTGACATTTATCCGTTCTTATTTTTTTCCTCTTATTTTCATTCTTAATGGCCAGTTAAGCTCTTTAGTGCTTTTATGTTTTATCAAAAGATGTGGGCAAACACTTTGATTTTTAAGAGCACTCAGGTTCTAGTTTTTGGGCTTTATCCAACAAAAGACACTCTTAATTCAGCATATCACTATGATCTATTTGACAATGCAATGTCAAACCATTTATTAGCCCCAAAAACAAAAACAATAACAAAATCACAAAGAGAAAAAGAAAAAAGGAGCTCATAATAGAGCCAATTTGGAACCTGAGTTTGTTTCAATTAAAATAGACAATTCCTACAGAGATGAGTGGCATTTGTTTAGGTACTTGTTCTGTAATCCATGTGCACATCAGGCCAATTTTTCAACCAAGTGATGACCTAGCTTAGGATGACTTGGCAAACAATCTAAGCAATACGAGATTTAGGAAGGATAGTGGGCGTCGTAGGACGAGATGGTGGGACCTAAAAGGGGACAAATTAGAAATATTTAAGAATAGAATAGATATAGAAGGTACTTGGGACTTGAAAGATGATACTAATACTATGTGGAACTCGATGACCAATTATATGAGGAGAATCTCAAGGGAAGTTATTGGAGAGTCAAAAGGAAAGGGACCCAACTGTAAGGAAACTTAATGGTGGAGGGAGGAGGTTCAAATAGTAGTAAAAACGAAAAAAAGTGCTTTAAAAAGTGACAGAAGGATAGAACTAAGAAAAACCTTAAAAGCTACAGGTTGACTAATAAGGAGGTCAAAAAAGTAGTGAGAGAGGGAGGATTCTAAGGTGTTGGTGAAGGATGAAGAGATTAAGGGGAGATGGAAGAACTATTTTGAGAAATTAAATGAGAAACATCGAGGAAGGTCAAAATAGGAGGAAGTAACTAGTAATAAGGAAAACCAAGACTACAAGTCCTATCGCAAGATTATGAACTTTGAAGTGGAGATTGCACTTAAGAAAATGAAATCGAATAAAGCTTTAGAACCCGATGATATCCCTATTGAAGCTTGGAAATGTTTAGGTAAGAAGAGGGTTGTTTGGTTGATTAGGTTATTTAGCAAGTTTTGTTAACTAGAAAAATATCAGAGGAGTGGAAAAAGAGTATTTTAGTGCCAATCTATAAGAATAAAGGAGATGTCCAGAATTGCAACAACTATAGAGGAATCAAGCTGATGTGTCATATAATGAAAGTGTGGGAGAGAGTGATGGAACATCGATTGCGAGATATAATAGAGATATAAGAGAATCAATTTGGATTTATGCTTGGTAGGTCAGCAATGGAAGCGATCTATCTTTTAAGGAGAGTAATAGAAAAGTATAGAGAAAAGAAAAGAGACATTTATATGGTTTTTATCAATCTTTAAAAAGCATATGATAGAGTGCATCGGGATATAATCTGGTGAGTGTTAGAGAAGAAAGAGGTGGCAAAAGGTTATATTGATGTGATTAGGGACATGTATGAAGGTGTGGTGACCACTATTATATCGCCTACTGGAGAAACAAGTGAATTTTCAATTATTGTGGAGTTACGCAAAGGATCAACCTTAAGTTTTTATCTTTTTGCTTCAGTTATGGATGAGTTGACCAGAAATGTTCAAGATGATGTATCATGGTGTATGCTTTTTGCAAATGATATCGTGTTAGTAGACGAGACTAGAGAAGGAGTTAACACTAAGTTGGAGGCACTTGAATCTAAATGATTTAAGATAAGTGGAACTAAGATAGAGTACATGGAGTGTAATTTTAGTAACAGTTATAAGTTTTTTGAATGAAACTGAATATTCAATTGTCAATGTTTACAAAGAGTTCATCAGTTTATATAGCCTTAATTCTATGACTGAAAAAGGAAATACAAAGATTATGTCTAATTCCTAATATTGTGCCTAATTCCTAATATACACAAACATGCCGTATATGCACAATCATGCCATATATATAATATATTCTCATACCCCCGCTCAAACTCAAGGTGTTTTAGCGGAAAATACTGAAAGTTTACTAAGAAGAAACTGAAACCGAGCGGGAGTGTCAGTCTTGGTGAAGAAGTCCGTAAGTTGTAAAGTCGAGGAGATGAAAGAAAGCGAGATAGAGCCAGACTGCAGATGCTGTCGAACAAAGTGACAATCAATCTCAATGTGTTTCGTTCGTTCATGGAAGACAGGATTGTGGGCAATCTGAATAGCACTGCGGTTGTCACAATAGAGAGAGGTCGGAGAAGACTGAGGTACACCCAAATTAGAGAAAAGACAACAAAGCCAAACAAGCTCAGCAGTAGCATGAGTCATAGCACGGTACTCAGTTTCGACAGTAGAGCGGGCAACAACAATTTGTTTTTTACTTTTCCAAGAGATCAAGGAATCGCCAAGAAACATATAGAAACTAGAGGTGGACTTGCGATCATTAACATCTCCAGCCCAATCAGAATCAGCGTAGGCCGCCAAGTCTAAAGAGAAAGTAAAGGACAATAGTAGGCCCGGCAAAATGGTACCCCGAAGATAGCGAAGAATGCGAACCAAAGTAGCCCAATAGGTAAAGCGAGGAGCCGAAACGAACTGACTAATTACATGAATAGTATAAGCAAGATCAGGGCGAGTGATAATCAAATAAACTAAACAATCCACAAGCTTGCGATAGAAAGTAAGATCATCCAGAGGGACACCATCAGTAGAGTTGAGCTTTACATTAAGCTCAATAGGTGTATCAGAAACCTTAGTATCAGTAAGACCGGCACGGTGAATAACCTCATTAGCATACTTGGCCTGAGACAGAAAATAGCCCTTTGGAGAAGAGGCACCTCAATACTAAGAAAATACTGCAAGGGACCCAGATCCTTCATTTTGAAGGTGCGGAAGAGATGTTGCTTGACCTCAGAGATAGCAAAAGAGCCAGAGCCAGTGATGATCATATCATCCACATAGAGTAAGAGAGCAACAAAACCAGCCGAGGTATATCTCAGAAACAAAGCAGAGTTGTAAGCAGAAGGATGAAATCCAAGCTCGGTGACAGCAGTCCGAAAGCGATCATACCAAGCACAAAGAGATTGTTTCAAACCATACAGAGGACGTCGAAGATGACAAACCTGCCCAGAGGAGTGGAGAAGGCCAGCGGGAGGACGCATGTAGACCTCCTCAGTGAGATAATTGTTAAGAAAAGCATTCTTAACGTCCATTTGATAGAGAGGCCGATGTCGAATAACATCAACAAAATCAAGGTACGGACAGTAATCATCTTGGCAACAGGAGTAAAGGTCTCCTCATAATCAATATCATATTCCTGTGAGAAACCTTTGACAACCAGATGAGCTTTGTAGTGTTCAAGAGAACCATCAGAATGAGTCTTAACTTTGTAGACCCATTTGCAACCAACCAGATTCTTACTAGCAAGCAAAGGAATCAACTCTCAAGTACTAGTTTTCTGTAAAGCAGATAACTCATCCTCCATCGCTTGAACCCAATGAGGATCCTGACAGGCCTCCTTGTAAGACTGAGGTTCTGAAAAAGAGTGAATTGCAGACAAAAAAGTACGATACGAAGCAAAAAAACATGTATTAGACCAACCCAACCTGTTTGGAGAACGACGTACTCGAGTAGGATATCGGTGTTTCGGTGGTTAGCAGGAGATCAGTCTTCAGAAGCAGAAGAAGGAGCAGCTGGGGCAGAGACAACTGGTGGAGGGGGAGCCGTGCGACGAGAATAGACTAACAACGGCGGCAGAGAAGAAGCCGAAAGAGGAGAGGAAACCAGAGGTGAAACAAGAGGAGAAGGAGAGATAGCCTTAGGGGAATTAGTGGAGAAGTACTCAACAGGAGGGGTGGAAGGTGGAGAAGAGAGAACAAGGTCATGGGGAGCAGTAGAGATGTACTCATTAGGAGGAACCTCAGAAGGAAACAGATCAATGTGAACCAAATCCTCTTTGGAAACCGGAACAGTGATAGGAGGAAGCTAAAAGCAAGGCAGACGTTCGAGAAAAGAAACATGACAGGAGACATAAAGACGACGGGAAATAGGGTCGTAACACTGATAGCCTTTCTGAGTAGGACTATAATCCAAAAAGACACAGAGGACAGATCGGGCACTAAGTTTGGTCCTATCTTTGCGGGGAAGAAGGACAAAGCAGGCAGACCCAAACACACGAAGCAGGGAGTAGTTAGGAATTTGGGAGAACAAAGCCTCATAAGGAGACCGACCAGAAAGAAGGGGAGTAGGCATGTGGTTGAGAAGAAAAACAGCAGTAAGAACTGTCTCCCCCAAAATGGAGCCAGAACTGAGGCAAAGAGAAGAAGAGACCTAACTGTCTCAAGGAGATGGCGGTGTTTACGCTCGGCTCAACCATTCTGGACAGGTGTATCTGTACAGGAAGTTTGGTGAATGGTTCCTAAATTGGCCAAATACTCACGGAACTCATTTTTAAAATATTCCCCACCCAAATCAGACCATAACACTTTAATTGTAGATCCAAACTGAGTAATAATCATAGACTGAAAGGTACGGTATATCTGATAGAAATCAGACTTATGAGTTATAAGATAAACCCAAGTGTAACAGGTGCAGTCATCAACAAATGACACATAGTAGGCAGAGCCCCCTTTGGTGAGAACAGGAGAAGGGCTCCAAACATCAATATGAACTAAAGAAAACAGTGTATCAGATATAGAAGTACTTTTACGAAACGGTAAGGCTATCATTTTGACAAGTTTACACCTCCCGACATTCAGTAAGTTCACTAGGAGAAACTTTACCCAATATACTGGACTGAGCTAAAGACTGTAAGCGGTCAGCAGACAGGTGTCCTAATCTAGAATGCCACAAATAGAAAGGACTGGACAAAGAATCTAACCGAAAAGAAGAAAAAGCAGTTGGAGAGATTATCATAAACAGATGCAAGCTCTCCACTACATAAGGGTCTCCAACTCTACAGCCAGTCCTAATCTGCTGTTTGGACATCCGATCCTGCACAGAACAAATAGAAGAAGAAAAGAGAATATTAAAACCGGAGGCATCAAGCTGATTGATGGATAATAAACTGACAGATAACTGAGAAATATAAGGGACAGATGGAATAGAGACATAAGAGACGGTAAGACAGACCCAACTGATATAACAGACATACCAGACCCATTAGTAGCATTAACAGTAATAAGAAAAGAATAAGGAGTACAATTTTAAAGCAAGGAGAGATCGGGAGTCATATGATGAGAGGCACCAGAGTCAAAAATCCAGACAAATGAAGAAATACCTGAAGAAAACCCAAGCAAACCTGAATGAAGAGAGGAAACAATGGAGGCAGACGGGGATAGCTGGGAGATAGACAGTATATGCTGAAGTTGACTAATTTGAGCATTCAAGGAAGCCAAGTCAAGATCAAGAGCTATAGTGGATGCAGGCGAAGCTGTAGGAGGAACACGGAACTGATTTTGAGATTGCTGAAAAGATGAGACAGACAGATGTCCCTTCTTGGGACAGTGATACTTCCAATGGCTCCACTGATGGCAAAATGCACACTCATTTGATGCTTTGGGCTTTGCAAGAGGCTGAAGCTGATGGGTATCCGGCATCATAGGTGTATTCATAAACAAGAACAATGAACACACAATATTTAAAAGTCAAATAGGCCTAACCGAAATCAGAGATACAAACTGTGGTCAAAATCGTAACAAGGGAGAAACTCCAGAACAGGGTCAAAGAACCAAATAAGAGAACCTTTAGATGGGTCAAGACCTAGACCCAGACCCAAATAGAAAGGGAGAGAACCAAACCAGAGAATCAAAAGCCCAGAAGTCGACCGAAGCAACGAAGTTGATCGACGACGACGACAACAGACAGCTTCAGGTGGAGCTTCAGTCGAGATTGAAGTAGATAACCCACAACGATGACCCACGAAGTTGATCGAAGAGGGATTGCGTCTGAGACAGACGAGTCAGACCAGACCAGAGAACCAAACCAGTCGAAACCCTTGGTGTGTCGCGAGGTGAACGAGAACCAGAGAGAATCAGAACGAGACAGACATGCGAGGTCCAGAGATCACGAACCAACAAACCAGAAGATTGCACGATGGTGGCTAGGGTTTGAAAACTAGCTCTGATACCATGTAAGTTTTCTGAATGAAACTGTATATTCAATTGTCGATGTTTACAAAGAGTTCATCAGTTTATATAGCCTTAAATCTATGACTGAAAAAAGAAATACAAAGATTATGCCTAATTTCTAATATTGTGCCTAATTCCTAATATACACAAACATGCCATATATACACAATCATGCCATATATACAATATATTCTCACAATAGTAACATTGGAAGTAGAGGAGAAGTGAAGATTGAGAACCAAGAACTATCTAAGAGTGGACGTTTTCGTTATTTAGGATCGATTATCACAACGGTTGGGGAGATTGGAATAGATGTGGTCCATAGAATTAAGGCAGGGTAGTTTAAGTGGAGGAGTACATCTGGGATACTATGTGATAAACGAGTACCCACTAGACTAAAAGGAAAGTTCTATAGAATGACTATTAGACCAGCGATGTTGTATGAGACGGAATGCTGGGCAATTAAGAAACAACATGTAGATTAGATGAGTGTTACGGAGATGAGGATACTAAGGTAGATGTGTGACAAAACTAGAAAAGACAAAGTTAGGAATGAGTATATTCGTGAATGGATATGAGTAGTACTGATAGAAGATAAGTTGAAAGAGAATAGATTGAGATGGTTTGGTCATATACAACGGAGACCAATAGAGGCAGTAGTGAAGAGATACAATACAGTGACGGTAGATGAAAGTGTTAGGAGAAAGGTCAGATCTAGATTGACATGAGCGAGTGTAGTGAATAGAGATATGAATCTCCTTAATTTGACTAACCAAATGACCGGTGATAGAGTCAAGTGTAGAAGAAAGATTCATGTAGCTGACCCCATTTGATGGTACTTAAGGTTTGGTTTGGTTTGATTTGGTTTGGGAAGAGGAAAAGGAAAATGTGCAGATTTTTAAAATCAGAATCAAATTGGTGTCAAGTTGCCTACTAATTTTGTAAAGATGGTTTAGACTCGCTAACTCAATAACTGTTGGCTGATGAGAATATTATTTTTCTCTAATAATATTTGTGTTTACTATAGGGGTGACTATTGGTTTAATGGTAAAACCTTGACCTAATAACCTTGAGGTTATGGGTTCAACTCTTGGGACAACCACTTTGTGCACTATGCCAAAGGTTAGGTGTGTACCCAATCTTTCCTCTCTCAAACACACATTAATGTATATTATTTGGGCGTTGTTTTTAATATTTGTGTTTACTGTGAAAACTGTTTCTTTGCAGTAAGAATTTACTTAATGCATCAAAACTTTATGGTATTACTTTACTTTCCATGTGCTTCAGCATATCAAGCCCAAATTCCTCTTTTCAAGCTATGTATCTCGAATATGATTTGATTTTTGTGGCAATGCTTCACTATTACTTCATGGTTTCCGTTATCACTCCAGAATAATTTTTTTATTGTTGTAAGACTGTAGGATTTTCTCTGCATCAATCCTAATATCTTTGTGATGGAATCCTGAAACTAAATACATTCTGAAGCCAAGTTCTCTTGGAATCCAAAATTACCTAGTTGTGCATGTATACATAGTTTGAAACTCATTCTATTTGGTATTTCTTGTAGGATTTGGTTATGGTAATCATGATGATCCAGCCTTTTTATTCAAGGAGGCAGTCAATCTTGATTCTGGAAATAATACGTTGGATGTGTTGAGTATGATGATTGGCTTACAGGTAATAGGATTCTTTTATTGCCTTAAGGCATCTTGACTAACATGTTTAAAAGAAAATTTTCTGTTTGCTTGGAATCATCATGAGATTCCAATTTCATTCTCAACCAAATCATTCAAACGTGGCCCATATGATATCAACTACATTACTTACTTTGTGTTCAATTTTAACTATAAATATATATATATATATAGAACCTAACTGGTATGCAAGCGCAATCAAAATTTTATTCCACACTTTGAAACTGGGTAACATTGCAACCGTGGTTCTCCAACTGGCAATTTTGGATGGGTGGTCTAGCCTGAATCAATGGAGTTAACTTTCAGAAATTGAATCAATAATATAAGTTAAAATGGAAATTAGGCAAATTATAGTGTGCGCCTCTGCACCTCTCTTTGGGAGGCGGGCCAAAAATGAGGTGTCAACAAGTAAATTGATTTGTAATTCCCCATGCTGTTAAACATTGAAACATGAATGAAAATTTGGAATGTTTTAGACTTGAATTTGACTTAAGATATTAAAGTTGGAATTATTTTGCTCCGGGACACATCATTACATTGAGATGCTGCATGTTGAATGTCGACAACAAATTAATGAATGATAGTGTTAGTGAAAATTGAATTAGGTGCTTCTATGCATTTTCCATTAGGCTATTGTGTTAGTTTATCATCTATGCAGTCAATGAATTGCTAACTCACTAGAATCAAGAGGACCAAGTCCTACTTTCAACAATTCTATCTTGATTTTTGGGTATTTGATTGACTCAAATTTGAGAATCTCATTCTAGTGATGGAGGCCGTGGCCAAAAAAGTTAGAATCTCAAAAGTATTTATTAAGCATCCCAAACACTTCCACATAATTTTATACACTTTTTACACATTTCAATCCACATTTTTGCACACTAAATGAGGCTAATGACATGACAGCCCTTTGAATGGTCGTTAGAATTTTCCAATTAACAAAAGCTGTGAGGTGATTATTAATATGCTGCTTTAACTGAGAAGTTAGATCTATATGTGTTCATCTATAGATTACTCATGTTTTTAAACATAAGAAAAGCTGATGAAGTGTTTTAATCTTTTGGTACAAAAATCAGAACCTTTTGTATTTTTACAAAATCTTCCTAATGTTCACAATTTTTCCAAGTCTATTTCTGAATTTTTTCCTTGTCCAAGAAAGATTCCGTTCCCAGATATTCTGCTTATTAAGCTGTATAAACCAAAATTTTCATTAAGTATCCGCAACATGTTTGCCTAGATTTCTATCAGGTGCTTGCCTCTGCGTCAATGTTGATTAAATGTGTTCTTGTATTGTTTTTCCAGAACTATGGGCCATGGTATGACATACAAGGCGCAGGAATTACTTCTGTCATTCTTAGTGATCTGAAGAATACCAACAAGAGCCTTTCTTCCACAGAATGGACCTATCAGGTTTAGGCTATACTTTTACCAATTAAGATTGCAATAAGATGTGTTGTACAGCTATATATTGTAGATTCCCCGCCCCCCCTTCAAAATATTGGAAATGTACAAAGTATTGTATAATGTTATTCAGTAAGCAGTATCTACTTTTAAAATTTTTGAAGTATCCAAACTTGCTTGGTCGCGCATGCTCCTTGTTTTAGTACCTGAAATGATTATATGACATCCTTCTCTTAGAGCCTGATTATAAGTTAGATCAATCATTTGATGAAACTAATGCGCATTGTCTTTTTAAATCTTTAAATGCTTGATAGATTGGCATCAGTTGAACTGGTATGTAGCTGAAGCATGCACATTGAGTTGTAGAGACTAGAGAGTACAACAAAAATTTGTGAATTAAATTTAATTACAACAAAGATATAATACAAAGCAAAGCATGTTCTAGTTTAGAAATTAAAGAAATAGGAGGAGTTTGGAAATATAAGAGGAGATATAATTTTGCTCCTGACTTGTTATGAGAAAATTCTCGAGTTTCTTCATGCTTCAAGTGTGAATTATTTGTTGTTTTGAACTCACTGTGGGAAGATTTCATCTTTGACATCTTTGACCTCAACATGATATTGCTACATGTTTCCTTCATTTCAGGTGGGACTTGAAGGAGAATACCTTGGACTCGATAATATAAATCTTGCAAATAGTTCATTATGGACTCAAGGGAATGCCTTTCCAATTAATCAAAGTTTGATATGGTATAAGGTATGTTGATGCAAATAACATCAGATAATTCTGGAGTACGAATCAGGATTCAATCAAATTATTTGTCTTCTTTTGGCTTCATTTTTCATATTAACAATGCCATTTGTGTTCTTTTGGACTTCCAAAAAATTCAGTGCTGAAAGCTTTGAGCAGTTGGATTCCTGAACTGACAATTTTAGGGCAAATTTGTCAGTTCAGATCAAATTTAAAACCATCATCCACTGAGCATTTTCAGCATTCAGTGAAATGGAGATGGTTTTTGAGTAGAGCTTATCTTTCGAATAGTTGCAAATTGTCCGTTAGCTGATTCATTTTGGAACCCTTAAAATTATTAGTTTCAGCACTTAATAGGGTTAGCAAACAGCCCTGCAAAATGTACTTAAAAATCCAAAATAGATGACAACTACTACCAAATAATGTGGTTGTCTACATTTCTCACGTTCAGATAAACAGGAGTTGGAAAACCTTGAATTGACAGTCTGTCATGACTCACGAGCCAACCCTTTAAGTATGGGCCCATGTCCTCAGTTTTGTTTCATGCCAACTCAAAACCTTATGTGCATATCATATGGTGTCTTGGTACGTACTAGTTTTACTAAGACACTCACTCATAGATTCTCCCTTGAACTGTCAATTGTTCTTGTACTAGTTTTACTGAGACACTCATAGATTCTCCCTTGAACTGTCAATTGTTCTTTTTCCTCCTATCTTCCAAAAATAAGTTTTTATAAAAATATAAATATTTATTATGAAAAGTATGTTTTGGGCAACAATTTTTTTTTCCACATTGCAAAAAGTATATTTTCTCGTAGTAATGAGAATATTTACATCCAAAGATGTTTACTTATTTTATTTTTTTTCATTTTTTGATTATGTGTATTTACTTTTTCCAAGTTTTAGCCCTATTTCAGATAGAAAAGGGAGACAAAATTAGGTTAGGGACCAAAATGAGAGACATTTTGTATACATTGGAGACAAAATTGACACAATTGAAACATTAGGAATCAAAATGACTAGGGTTGAGCAAGGAAACCGAAAAATCCGTAAATCAAATTGGTCCAAACCAATTTAGTAGGTTTGGTTTGGTTTTTTTAATTCGAGGTTCGCTCCTAATTTGGAAAATTGGAGAACCGGTCTTCGCAGATTGGTTCAAGATTTAGGTCCATGATTCTGGATTTGATTCGAACCGGACCGTATAACTTAAGCCATATATGTTTATTTGCTATATATTATGTTTGGGTAAGTTAATGGTGGAATAATGTGCATGCTTATATTTTGAAAGTTTATGTTTCGAAAAATCATGACAGATTAATGTTGAATAATGTTTGCTTAGTGTTATGTTTTTGCTTAACTGGTGAATATTATGAGAGTAGTTTATTTGATGGACATATTATTATTATTTTTATAATTTATGATAGGTTGAATATTTTTAAAAATTTTATATGATTTTTTTTTGTGAATAGATTATGTGACACTATGGTTCCAAACCGAACCGAACCATGTTTAAATGGTTTGGTTTGGATGCATTTCATAATTTTAATGGTTTGGTTTGGTTCCAATTTATATAGAACCATAGACAATGAATTAGTCCAAACCGATCCAAACTGGACCATGCTCACCCCTAAAAATGACACAGTACATACTTCGAGGACTGAAAGAGTAGTTTTTTAACTGAATTTCCACACATTTGTCCCCAACTTTAATGGCATCTATAGGGAGACCAAATCGAAACACTTTTTATACGTTGGGGACTAAATTGATACAATTTAAACATAAGGACCAAAATGACACAAATCCCATATTTTGGGGACTAAAAGGGTAATTAATCCATAGGAAAAAGAAGAAAGAGGTATAGTAAAATTATAAAGTAGTTACCTCTTAGGCATGCTCAGTTTGATGCTCTATCTCTTGTCCTCAGTCTACATTCGTTGCTCCTGAAGGGAAGGGTCCTTTATCTTTGAATCTTGCTAGCATGGGAAAGGGTCAAGCATGGGTTAATGGGCAAAGTATAGGCCGATATTGGCCTGCTTATCTCTCTCCATCAACTGGTTGCTCTGAGAACTGTGACTACAGGGGAAACTATGATTCATTTAAATGTCTGAAGTACTGTGGTGAACCTGCTCAAACATTGTAAGTGGGAATACAACGTGTTTACCAAATGTTGCATTGTCTTTTAGTTTATTTTACATTATTCTTACCGATTCCGGGAATTTTTTGTTTTTTTTTCTTTTTTAAAGAAAATTTCTCAAAAATAGTTTTTGGAAAAAGAGAAGTTGCCGGTAAATCCATGTTGAGGGGTGTGTTAGGCATTAGGTCAAAGGATTAATTTTATTCGGTGAGAAGGACACGTGTTGAAAAGTCACCAGCGGCTAGTGGTGGCAGCTAGCGGCATTGAGGTGTGACAGATAGGTAACATGTGTATAGATGGTGGGACATTTGAATAGATAAGTGATATTTGAACAGATAAATAAAAATGTGTCCTTTTGGAAAAATAATGTCCTTTTGGTCCAAAAAGATTTAAGCTTGGGCCTATTAGCCCAAGAGTTTTAGAAATGGACCTCTAGCCAGAATGCCCTTTTGAAAATACTTAACGTCTTCTTGTTTTATATGTTGTATTTAATTAATTTATTTATTTTTACAACGTATAAAATGGTTTCTAAAAGTGGTACCGCACAATCCCTTAATGAGCCTTGAAAAGCCTAAAGTCAACCTTATAAAAGCCAAACATGATGGATACAAATTGATGATTAAATTAGGATGGATATTAAATGTTTCTATGCAAGTATTTTATGTTGTTTCTGTAAAGTTATCTAAAACCATCTAATCCGTTGCATTTATCTTGAGAGCTTATTAGTATAATTTTACGAGTATGTGGAGATAAATTATATCCAGGTATCATATCCCACGCACTTGGGTACATTCTGGTGAGAACTTACTGGTTCTCCATGAAGAGCTTGGTGGCGATCCTTCAAAAATTTCCGTGTTGACACGAACTGGGCAAGAGGTTTGTGCACACGTGTCAGATTCTGATCCTCTGCCAGCTGATGCTTGGAAATCAAATTTGGAATTTGTGTCTCGAAGTCCTGAAGTTCGACTGGCTTGTGAACAAGGATGGCAAATTACTTCAATTGCTTTCGCAAGCTTTGGGACTCCTACAGGACATTGTGGTGCATTCAGTCTAGGAAGTTGTCATATCGATGTGTTGTCAATTGTTGAGCAGGTAACAGAGGTCTTTCATGTTCATGTTTAACCTAAAAACATCAAGATTGGATTTGTTAGATCTTTTTACACATCCAATTAAAACCACAAAAAAAAACACCCTGTCCTTGCTTGTATTTTCAACTCTCTAAACCACAAACGGAGCATTGCCAAATTTTTATTTTTGAACCAAACAAGCATTACACATTCTCTTGTAAATTCATCTGAGGAAGGTTTATGTTTCCATTATTTGAATGATTTTTTCCGAGAATGTTGATCTTACAACTTTTCAAAATCCTAAAATAATCTTATCCAATCTGTTACAAGAGAACCAAATCACTTCTTTTTCTTGAAGTTTCCTATCAGGCCGTGGAGGTACCCTTTTGTGCACACCACGAGTGTTTACAATGTCTGCCTGAATTTCTTCGCAGCATTACATATGATCCATGCAATTTTATTGAACTAGTGTCTCAAAGACATGAATTTTCTTCTTTTGGTTTTTTGTTTTTTTTTTTTTTGCGCCACGGTTAAACCTTCATGCTCAATATTTGTTTTACACTGGCTAGCTCTTTCTAGTAATTCATTCATACTAACATGTATGGTTTGCACTGCAGGCGTGCATTGGCCAACAAGGATGTTCAATTTCTGTCTCAACATCTCAGCTAGGGGACCCTTGTCCTGGAGTGTCGAAAAGCTTAGCAATCGAAGCCCTTTGTAGCAGCTAAATTTCCTCTTCCTACTCTTGTGCTTCGATGTATGAAAATTTGAGAATGATGAATCTGTGACATGAACTTCGATGGTTTGATAAGTTTGAATTGTGATTTTCATTTTGCATAGTGTGGTGAAACTGGCTAGTCAAAGCTCCAAAAGTTTCACATAGTACTTATAAGTATGCTGAGCTCAAATAAATATAGTTCTTGTAATTCTGTGAAGCCAATGGCTGGTTAGTCATTTTGTTGCAATTAACGAACCATATTTAAATAAATCAATTTTCATGTGATGGTGGGTCTCATTAAAATTTCGGTATAGCTGCATGTATCTTGCCTTCTATATATCTCCCTTTAGCATCATTTTATAAGAGCCTCATGTATTGAGTTGTCTTCCTTTTATGACTAATATTTTTTTTTCCTTTTTCTATGTTTGAAATAAATTCTTTTTCTTTTTGTGAAAAAAAATGTATGAAATATTTGAATGGGTAGTAGTTGCATTAGGACATCTCTGGGACTATTGTATAATTTTTCCTTTAAATTTGTGTGTTAAAAGTGTATTACATGACAAAATATATAAAAGTGAAACCTAATTTTGTATGTTAGGTACTAGTATAGAGAGTGAGTGGATATTATATAGTAAGTGTGCTGAAGTGTGCATTATATGAGAATGCAATCCACTTAAATGTAAATAAATATGTACATAAAACAAAATGATTAAAAACTAGAGAAAATTGGTGATAAATCTGATTTAGAGAACCTCTAAGGCATTAGATCTAGTGGATATTTTTTGTTAGTGAGAAGAAGTCCATGTTTTGTGAAATAGTATGGTGAGAAGTCCGTTAGGACATTTATTTTCAATTTTATCCCTTGATTTTTTTTATCTGTTTGACTTTTCGTTTTCTATCTATTCAATTTTTTTACCCTATGTATTTAAATATTTGTCTAAATAAAATTCTATTTGCCCAATTTTGTCTACCTATTTAATTTTTTGTCCATCTGTTCAATTTTCCACCCTATTTGAACAGATCTATTATCTTATGTGTTGAAAATCAACTATAACAGATCTGTTTAAAACAAATCTGTTCTATTTGTTCAAAGTTTTATTATTTTCCTAATGTTCAAAACTTTCATCTCTCTCCTCTATCTATTGCAATCTATTTATTCTTCATTATTCACTATCTGTTAAAATCATAAACAAAGATTCATCATCATCAGAGCACAGATTCATCATCATCATCATCAACAACAACAAAATTAATATTCTGAACATTCATACTGAATATGAGAGGGAAAATGCCACTTTAAAAATCTATAAGAAAATTTTGTGACTTTCATTGTTCCTCAAAATGTAAAACCACAAGTAGAGAGAGAGAGAGAGAGAGAGAGAGTGGTTTACAGAATAGAGAAGAAGAGTAGAGTAGCACAACTTCACTACAGAGAAAGACCTAGTCAATGTTGATTCTGAAATTGCAGTGACTTAGGGTTTTTAATTGGGGAAACACATTAAATCCTAGTGAAAGCTGCAAATTAGAATTCATGAGTGAAAGAAGAGTACAAATCACTGTTGAGCACTAGGTTAAGTTTTAGATTTTTTTTTTTCCCTGGAATCTGGGAACTGAAATTTGTTCTAATAGATACTTGGAATTTCTGAAGATTAGTTAAAAGTCAGGAAATTTGAGGAAGCAATTAAATTTAGAGTGTAAAATTTGTGAGAAGAAAATTATCTAGAGAAATGGCAGAAAATGGAGCAAAAATCAGTCTTTGGCATTGACACCAAGATGATCTGCGACTTCTGTCTTAACGGTCTTTGTTGTTGTTTCCTCGGTGGTGCGATCGATTCATTGCATAAATAATGTAAGTCGAAATTCGGCATTTAGCTTTTGAGGTACAAACCTCCATTTCAAACCCTAGTTATGCTTCGATCGACAATTTGTTGATATGTCGATTTTTCTAGATTTCTTATCTCTCTAGATCTGTCCATAATAGATTGTTAGATGTTCGATCTAAGATCATCGAAGATGGCAGCGAACTTCGTCGCGGGTGAGGGTCAAGGGAGAGAAATGATGATGATCAACGTCGATACCAGATCTGCGCGGTAGAAGAAGGGACAGCAACGCCGGTAAATGTGGATGAGATCGGCAAAGGGGAGAGAGAGAGAGATCTGAGTGAGGGCGACGACAATGAGTGATGATAAGATCTTCGGAGAAGAGAGGAACACGGTGGTGTTAACGGATGAGAGATGCTTGGTAGAGAGAGGAAGATGAGGAGTGAGAATAAAATAAATTCAACAGATAATAGTTTGTATATTGTGAGAATGCATGTGAATGAGAAAGGGTATTATGGTCATGTTCAATAAAAGCTTGTCCTTATGGACATGAAATTTTAGCGCCAAGACTGTTCAACAAAGAAAATTTAATTTTAGACTTTTGACCCAAGCGTCCTAAAAACTATATATATATATATACAAATAAATAAATAACAATGGGCCCACCACCAATGTCGCTACCCTACCACCTACCGCACCACCACACCAGCACAACCACTACCATAAGCTAGTAGCACATCAATTTCCAAATAGCAAAAACATTTTTAAATATATAGTTTTTCTTTTTCACAAGTGAAAACATTTTCTCCAAAACAAACTCAGCCTACATAACTAGGTAAGAAATTTAACTAAAATCTTACAATTTCCCTTCGCAAGTTTCAAATTCTTCCCTTGATCACATACAAACCAAGATTCCAACACATTTAAAAACAAAAACAAAAGATACCAAGTACAAAATGTAAATGAAGTTCATAACTAATAGAAATGTCATACTTAAACAAATAACACAATTATGTTCTATTACAGTATGCTCATGAGGAGGTACACAATCACTTCATCATTCACTTGATACACAAAGATCATCCAATGTATCATGGGATAAGGAGTATTTTTCCGATATGCTTGCTAGTTTCAATAAGCCGGTGACTCTCTGCTGCTTCGGATAATGGAAGATATGTATACACAACTGGTTTGACCTTGCCTGCCACAATTGCTGGCCAAACATTCTTCTCCACTTCGCTCACAATTGCAGCTTTGTTTTCTAGACTTCTGTAGCGCAACCCAGCCGCTGCATATGGAGAATTGCAATTTTGTGTAAAACTAATCTAGTTTACTGTCTGAAAGTACATATTCAATTGTGGTAATAGTTTCACAACACTGAAAAATTAGAGAAGAATGATTATAAAAAAGAGGATAATACTGGAAAGAATAGTGAAAAGGGAGTTTCCTTGAGTCGGTAAGGTTGTGTTTCGATCAACGATTTGAGAAGTAATTTGCAGAGGGGAAAATGAATAAATAAAAGCTAAACTTTTTATTCACTTTTCCTTTCTGTTCCTTTTTCCTTTCCCTCCATAAATCTATAATCCAAAAGACTAAGGGGTTGGCCTGGTGATTGAGGCGCTCCCTTACCAGGTGAGTGATACTTGGGTTCGAGTCGTACTGATGCACTACGCAACTTCCCTTTCCCTTATCCCCTTCCTACCAATCCAAACACAGCCTAAAAGTAGAAGACTGGTGAGAGATGATGAAAACAACACTAGGAATCCTAATATAAAAAGAATACCAGATGCATGAGCATGGGAATGACAAACAAAGTTACAAAGGACCCAAAGCGAAGTGAATTTTGCCTAATGATGTAAACATAAAGGAACCCTCTATTTCTCATAGCTTTTACAAATATTACAAAGAGGTGAACATTCCTCTAGTACTCGAGAATAGGGAAATACTCGAGGACAAGACCCTTAGATCTCAACAGACGTTGCCATGGTTTTCCTATGTATATTACCAAATTCATCCCGCGTATGCCACCCAATATCACTAACCCCAAACAAGTATTATAATATTATTATTTCTAACTCCACCAACACACAAAACATCAGGTTTCAAGCATAGACGTTTAAAAGGTTGTAATGTAACCAGTGCACAAGGCTCCTGCTTAAAATTATGGGTTTGTTTGGTTTGGTTTTCAAAAACTGTGTTCAGATTTATTGTTTTTCATATGCACTTAATCTACATGCACATAAAAAGTAAAGTATATATGAAAAAAATTGAGAGAAAAAATTCACTAAAGACAAAAAATTGCAAAAGTGTGCTGACTTTTTTTTTTGGTTTTTTTTTTTTATATTTAGTGATCTTTTTTTCTTTTTTTAAAGATCTAGACTAGGTGCACCTAAAACAAATGACTAAACTCTGCAAAAACTTTATTAAAGATAATAATAATAAAAAAAAAGGGGTCAGAAACCAGTTTTTGAAAGATCAAACCAAACAAACCCATTCACCAAAACTCCAATATTTCAATGTTTTTTTTGTTTTCTTTTATCTTTAGTGATCTTTTTTCGTATTTTAGTCTCCTTTTTTCAAAGATCTCGATTAGGTGCACCTAAAACAAATGACTAAACTCTGAAAAAAGTTCTTTAAAGATAGAAAAAAAAGGAAGTCAGAAAACAAATTTTCAAAAATCAAACCAAACAAACCCATATTTTCACCAAGACTCCAATATTAAATGACACCAGATGCTTGCAAATAAAACTACACCTTCGAGATCTTTCATTAAAACAAATTGAATCTCTCTTTTAGTTTGGCATGAGGACATGATAATATTGTATAGAAAAATGAAATGGAAGCACACAACTGTAATTATATTGGTAAATCCTACAAACATATGGACAAGGCTTGAGTACATACATTGCACTGTGAGGCGCCTTGCCAGCATACCCGAAAGATTTACTTCTGTTACTGATCCACCCATAAAACCAATAATAAAAAGTCTCCCATCAAAGTTATGTTCGATCTAAGATCATCGAAGATGGCAGTGAACTTCGTCGCGGGTGAGGGTCAAGGGAGAGAAATGATAATGATCAGCGTCGATACCAGATCTGTGCGGTAGAAGAAGGGACAGCAGCGCCGGCGAATGTGGATGAGATCGGCAAAGGAGAGAGAGAGAGATCTCAGTGAGAGCGACGGCGATGAGTGATGATAAGATCTTCGGAGAAGAGAAGAACACGGTCGTGTTAACGGATGAGAGATGCTTGGTAGAGAGAGAGGAAGATGAGGAGTGAGAGTAAAATGAATTCAACAGATAATATTTTGTATATTGTGAGAATGCATGTGAATGAGAAAGGGTATTATGGTCATGTTGTACAAGCTTGTCCTTATGGACATGAAATTTTGGCGCCAAGACTGTTTAACAAAGAAAATTTAATTTTAGACTTTTGATCCAAGCATCCAAAAAACTATATATATATATATACAAATAAATAAATAACAATGGGCCCACCACCAATGTCGCTACCCTACCACCTACCGCACCACCACACCAGCACAACCACTACCATAAGCTAGTAGCACATCAATTTCCAAATAGCAAAAACATTTTTAAATATATCTTTTTCACAAGTGAAAACATTTTCTCCAAAACAAACTCAGCCTACATAACTAGGTAAGAAATTTAACTAAAATCTTACAATTTCCCTTCGCAAGTTTCAAATTCTTCCCTTGATCACATACAAACCAAGATTCCAACACATTTAAAAACAAAAACAAAAGATACCAAGTACAAAATGTAAATGAAGTTCATAACTAATAGAAATGTCATACTTAAACAAATAACACAATTATGTTCTATTACAGTATGCTCATGAGGAGGTACACAATCACTTCATCATTCACTTGATACACAAAGATCATCCAATGTATCATGGGATAAGGAGTATTTTTCCGATATGCTTGCTAGTTTCAATAAGCCGGTGACTCTCTGCTGCTTCGGATAATGGAAGATATGTATACACAACTGGTTTGACCTTGCCTGCCACGATTGCTGGCCAAACATTCTTCTCCACTTCGCTCACAATTGCAGCTTTGTTTTCTAGACTTCTGTAGCGCAACCCAGCCGCTGCATATGGAGAATTGCAATTTTGTGTAAAACTAATCTAGTTTACTGTCTGAAAGTACATATTCAATTGTGGTAATAGTTTCACAACACTGAAAAATTAGAGAAGAATGATTATAAAAAAGAGGATAATACTGGAAAGAATAGTGAAAAGGGAGTTTCCTTGAGTCGGTAAGGTTGTGTTTCGATCAACGATTTGAGAAGTAATTTGCAGAGGGGAAAATGAATAAATAAAAGCTAAACTTTTTATTCACTTTTCCTTTCTGTTCCTTTTTCCTTTCCCTCCATAAATCTATAATCCAAAAGACTAAGGGGTTGGCCTGGTGATTGAGGCGCTCCCTTACCAGGTGAGTGATACTTGGGTTCGAGTCGTACTGATGCACTACGCAACTTCCCTTTCCCTTATCCCCTTCCTACCAATCCAAACACAGCCTAAAAGTAGAAGACTGGTGAGAGATGATGAAAACAACACTAGGAAATGTAAAAATATATGTATTATTGATTGAGATATTGATGTGTGATTAATTACAATTCCTATACAATCTATATATAGAAGAAAATGTGGTAGTAGGTGTAGTGGAGGTGATAGTGGGTTAGGTGAAGTGGAGTGTGTGGTGAAGTGGAGGTAGGTGAAGTGGAGTGTGTAGTGGAGTAGGTGAAGGTAAAGATGGGAAATTCTAACAACTAGGAATCCTAATATAAAAAGAATACCAGATGCATGAGCATGGGAATGACAAACAAAGTTACAAAGGACCCAAAGTGAAGTGAATTTTGCCTAAATGATGTAAACATAAAGGAACCCTCTATTTCTCATAGCTTTTACAAATATTACAAAGAGGTGAACATTCCTCTAGTACTCGAGAATTGGGAAATACTCGAGGACAAGACCCTTAGATCTCAACAGACGTTGCCATGGTTTTCCTATGTATATTACCAAATTCATCCTGCGTATGCCACCCAATATCACTAACCCCAAACAAGTATTATAATATTATTATTTCTAACTCCACCAACACACAAAACATCAGGTTTCAAGCATAGACGTTTAAAAGGTTGTAATGTAACCACTGCACAAGGCTCCCGCTTAAAATTATGGGTTTGTTTGGTTTGATTTTCAAAAACTGTGTTCAGATTTATTGTTTTTCATATGCACTTAACCTAGATGCACATAAAAAGTAAAGTATATATGAAAAATATTGAGAGAAAAAATTCACTAAAGACAAAAAATTGCAAAAGTGTGCTTACTTTTTTTTTGGTTTTCTTTTATATTTAGTGATCTTTTTTTCTTTTTTTAAAGATCTAGACTAGGTGCACCTAAAACAAATGACTAAACTCTGCAAAAACTTTATTAAAGATAGTAATAATAAAAAAAAAAGGGGGTCAGAAAACAATTTTTGAAAAATCAAACCAAACAAACCCATTCACCAAGACTCCAATATTTCAATGTTTTTTTTTTGTTTTCTTTTATCTTTAGTGATCTTTTTTCGTATTTTAGTCTCCTTTTTTCAAAGATCTAGATTAGGTGCACCTAAAACAAATGACTAAACTCTGAAAAAAGTTCATTAAAGATAGAAAAAAAAAAAAAAAAAATTTTTGAAAAATCAAACCAAACAAACCCATTCACCAAGACTCCAATATTTCAATGTTTTTTTTGTTTTCTTTTATCTTTAGTGATCTTTTTTCGTATTTTAGTCTCCTTTTTTCAAAGATCTCGATTAGGTGCACCTAAAACAAATGACTAAACTCTGCAAAAACTTTATTAAAGATAGTAATAATAAAAAAAAAAGGGGGTCAGAAAACAATTTTTGAAAAATCAAACCAAACAAACCCATTCACCAAGACTCCAATATTTCAATGTTTTTTTTGTTTTCTTTTATCTTTAGTGATCTTTTTTCGTATTTTAGTCTCCTTTTTTCAAAGATCTCGATTAGGTGCACCTAAAACAAATGACTAAACTCTGAAAAAAGTTCTTTAAAGATAGAAAAAAAAGGAAGTCAGAAAACAAATTTTCAAAAATCAAACCAAACAAACCCATATTTTCACCAAGACTCCAATATTAAATGACACCAGATGCTTGCAAATAAAACTACACCTTCGAGATCTTTCATTAAAACAAATTGAATCTCTCTTTTAGTTTGGCATGAGGACATGATAATATTGTATAGAAAAATGAAATGGAAGCACACAACTGTAATTATATTGGTAAATCCTACAAACATATGGACAAGGCTTGAGTACATACATTGCACTGTGAGGCGCCTTGCCAGCATACCCGAAAGATTTACTTCTGTTACTGATCCACCCATAAAACCAATAATAAAAAGTCTCCCATCAAAGTTTAGGCTGTCTATGTTACGCTGAAAGTAGGGTCCTCCAACACTATCCAATATAACATCAACACCTGTTGTCGAACATTTTGAGGTTAAAAATTGTTATACGCATACTGTAGAAAAGATTAGATTTTCTATTCTTAAATCGATGTGATATGAGAAAAGGAGATGTCTAAATGTCTTTCTAGATTCTAAGAAGCAGATGTTGCATTAAGCGCAGCGGTTTCAGGTAAAATTAAGGGTTAATTACACCAAGACCGCCTCAACTATTAACGAATATCGCCTACTTCCCTCATCAATGAATCCATACATATTGACCCCTCAACTATAAAAACCGTACAAATGCCTCCATTATGGAGGTGGTTTGGAGGGTGAAAGTGATACATTTTTATAGTTGAAACGATCAGAATGTATGGATTCATAGGTGAGTGGGTAAGGTGATATTGGCTAATAATTGAGAGGGTCTTACTGTAATTAAACCTAAAATCAATTTTTTTATGCCAAAGAGAATACACCTTTCCCTTGTGTTTCTTCCTTCACACGTGCAACGAAATCTTCAGTCTTGTAGTTGATGCACACGTCAGCTCCAAGATCCTTGCAAGCAGCTAATTTTTCCTCACTTCCTGATGAAAAAATCGTCAAAGATTAACGCAATCATAAAACTAATGCAATGCCTCAAACATGCCATGAGATAAAAATGTGTTACCAAACCTGCTGTGACAAACACTTTGGCTCCTTGGTATTTGGCTATTTGGATTGCAAATGTACCAATCCCACTAGAGCCTCCATGTATCTGAAATATACAAGTCCTCTCAGTAAATAGCTTCAAGTGAGACATCGATTGTAAGATTGGACAACAATAGTGTGATAAATTGAAGGATAACAGAGAGCATATACAAACACAGATATGAGATTACCAATGTACATAATTATTTTGTCACGCTAACTTACCGTGATGAGCATCCAAGTGTTGTCTTCATTTGAATGATTTAAATAATCATGCTATGGCTTCACTTTTTTTTACTAGTCCATCTCAATAATCAAACACATAACTAACTTCAAATGTAAAGGCTCAAAACTAGGAAACCAAAAAACTACAAGTGTAAGGCTCACAATTTTCTTACTACTCTAAGAAAGTTCAGCAAATCTAACCTTAACCTGACAATTGTAACATGTTCGATATGTATCAATTTTTTTCCCTTTTATTTAATCAAAAGTTTCAATTCAACTAATCTTACATTTCCAAAGATATAAAGATAGAGAGATATTCCTCAAAATTAAGCATTGCAAGTAGCATTGCAATTCCGATGGCTTATATTATTTGTTACTGCAAGAAACAAAATGGTATAAAATAATGCTTATGAGAAAATAGAATGGGTTCATAAATTACCAGGAATGTTTCTCCTGCGGATAGCCGGCTCATCATAAAGACAGTTGACCAAACAGTGCATGCCACTTCGGGCAAACTAGCAGCATCTTTAAGAGAAACACCAGCTGGAACAGGAAGAGCTTGTCCAGCTGGTACAGCCACCTTCTCAGCATACCCTCCTCCACTAAGAAGAGCACATACCTGCAAACCACTAAGTATATTACTGAGAAAGCTTACAAGATTTTCCTTCCAAGAATGTATTAGAAAGGGTTGAGAACCAACAAGAGAACCAACAGCTCAACTGCTCTATTTCATAGTTAGCTTATCTCATAGAAGAGGAAGAGATGGATGTTTCAGCATTTAAACTAATTGTCAAACCTCTCAACGCTTTTAGGCTTCGCTCAGTAAAATGGCCAATCTATTCAGAAGTTTTCAGTGGCTAAACTGGGGTAGGTTCATAGATTATAATATTAAAACTGGATTACGAAGTACTAACGAATCAAAATCAGTATATTTCCAAGTTCCAATAAACTTTTCTTTCATGTACATATAAGCTATTCTTTTAGTTTTTTGGATAAGGACATTGAAAACAGCTATCACGTTAAATAAACTTCAGAAAAACGTTATTTATTCAAAAACCAAAAATAAGTTCAATATTTCATTTTATTCTCTCTTTTCCTTCTCTCAGCATCCAAACATAGCACAAAGAAGCAAAACAGTGATTCAAAGGTGACAGTGAAGCTGGTAAAGTTTCGCAATGAAAGTAACACATTAAATTCAATAATCCAATTTCCTCTCCTCTCTTGTTTTCTCGGCAACAGCACAAGGCATAGAAGTTCAAAATCAAAACCAAGGTGTTTGATCAACCAACACAGAAGAAACTGTCTTTCCATGGAATTAGAAACCAGAAACACAATTTTTCATTTTCTTCTCTTTTCCTCACTTTCTCGGCAAACAAACAGTTGACCCAAATCCCAATCACAACACAAAAGATTTAAAAACCTAATTCCGTCTCTTTTCCTTCGTTTTCTCACCGAACAGACACAATGGACAAGATAAGAAAACAACCAAAGCATAATGGAGAAAATTCTTTCTTGTTAGAATTAAACAGCAGAATTCATAAAACAAAATGTTAAATCTCATTTTCTCACTTTCTAGGCAACCAAACAAAGCATGAATTGACCAAAAACAAACCAAACAAACAAATAAAAATCTCATGAGAATTAACACTTCCCATTAGAAATCCCCAATTTTCCTTTCTTAACTCAATCAATAAAACGATGGTATTTGATCAAACAACCCAGAACCGTCAATTCAAACATTTTCCCGAGGAAACAAAAACCCAGATGAAATCGAGACTGGAATTTTACCTGATCACCGATTTTCCAGCAAGTGACATTCTTGCCGAGGGCCTGGATGGTTCCAGAACATTCGAGACCAAGAAAAGAACTGGAGCCCTTGGGAGGAGGGTACAGGCCTTTGCGTTGAATAGTGTCGGCTCTGTTGAGAGCTGTGGCTTCGACTCTGATGAGGACTTCGTCGTCTCCGAATTCTGGATCTTCCACCTCTTGTATTTGCAGGACTTCGGGGCCGCCTGGATTGCTTATCACTACGGCCTTCATTGTTGGTGTTGGTGTTGGTGGATATTGTTGGGGATTGAGAGAGAGAGAGAGAGGTTGAAGAACTCAACACGACTGTGTCAGTGTCACTGATGACTATTTACCGCTGCACTTCTTTGTCTTACTCCGTTTGGATCGCGAGAAGATGTGAGTAGATGAGAAAGAGTCCGGATCCTCCCCCAGCCAACTCCTGTCAAGGGCTGGTTTTGGCCACGTCACTTTGACTAAAGTCTACGGCTCAGCCAACTCCTGTCAAGGGCTGGTTTTGGCCACGTCACTTTGACTAAAGTCTACGGCTCAGATCAAGCTTGGTTTAAAAAAAAAAAATTGAATTTCTTCGGTTTTCTTCTTTCTTTTTCTTCAAGATCATATTTTTCAGGGGTGATTATTCAGTACTCTCATGGCATGTTTGATTGGAAGGATTAAAGCATAGGATTGGAATTATTAATCCGTGGGCCCAATCATCCTATGTTTGTTTTGACATTTTAGTTTAGGATTATTAATCCAATGGATAATTAATCCAACAAATTTGTAAGATTATTAGTAATGGGGTAGGGGTGGGATAACTAATACCACACTAATTTAATAGGATTATTAATACCTCACTATTAGTGTTGTGAATCAAACATGGCCTCATAGTATGAACACGTGATATTTCATAAGATTTTAATTGATGGAGTGATGTAAGGACCCACAATTTATATTGGAGATAAAAGAACAACATGGGGCTAAGTAATTAGTGATTGACTTGGAATATGGACATGTGGTGTTCCAAGAGTATTGAATAATTTCCTATTTTCTTTAGATAATATATATAGAGAGAGAACATCGAAGCTTTGGTGAACGACGATTGGCGGCGAATCGAAGTCGATCTGTTCCTCTCTCCCTCAGTCTTATTCCGAAGATTTAAGCCGCAATTTCAGGCCCGAACCAGAGCTCCGGCAACCCCGCGAACTAGAGCCCCTGATCTGTATATTTTTTTCATTCATTTTTCCCCAAATAATCTGTCATTTTCAAAACTTGAACAATGATGGGTATTTCACATGGAGTGGTAGTGGATTGGGAAACAGAGGTTGGGATAAGAGAGAGAGTGGACAACTTGAAGGGTTGTTTTGGGATTTTGAGATCAAGAACTGAGAATATCAATGGCTAGCTTGATGATTTCTTTGATAAGTTTGTTTAACGGTAAAGAAGCTCTTAGATTTATGCAGTCACAGCTAGAAAAGAGAAAAACAGACACAAAATCGAGAGAGAGAGAAGATAGAAGGAGAAGATTCAGTTCTGAGATTATTGTATCTCAATCTTTCTATATAAGCATGAATAGATATATGTAATTGTATTTGTATGTATTATCTCAATCTTTCTATATAAGCATAAATAGATATATGTAATTGTATTTGTATGTATAGTTTCATTATCTGGGTTGGTTAAAATTTCTCTAATACAAGGTTTTTGATAGTGGGTAATCTTTCTATGTATGCATAAATAGATATGTAATTGCATTTGAAAGAAATCAGATTAGAAGAAAATGATCTTGAAGAAGTAGAGACAAGAAAACCAAAGAAATTCAAAATTTTTTTTTTTTTTTAAACTAAACTTGATTTGAACCGTAGACTTTGGTCACTTTGACGTGGCCAAATCCTGACCCTTGACAAGAGGAATGGCTGGAAAAGTTGGCGGGAGAGGATCCGGACTCAATGAGACAAGAATAGAAATAATTATAATTTTTTATAATTATGTTATGGGATTTTTTGGGATGATTTAAATTAGTGTTTCACCCGTGCTATATATAGATTGTATTTATAATTATTTGTTTATATGTGAATTGTGATTTTTAAATATTTTCTTTTTTTTTTCTTCTTTTTTTTTGCACACAGAAAAATAAATATAACAAATGCAGCATATTTTCAATCAATTATTTTATGTTTGCTTTTATTCAAAAATTAAAAATAATGAATGGGCAAAATTTATAACTAAATTAAGAAAAAATTTATTCCTAACGACATTTTTGTACTCCTATATAAATACTTAAAAAAATAAATCTAAAAAAGGTAATCAATATAATATTATACATTAAGTAAAAAAAAAATGTTATTAACAATTATGCTTACATAAATTTACTATAATTTTAATTTCAAATTTTAAAAAAAAAAATTTAAAGCATTTTATTTAACTAGTACCAAATAGAATTTTCTTAGTAAAAAGAAAAGTTATAAAATTTTGTTGCAAATTTTTAAATATTTACTGTTAAACATTTTATTCTACTTACTTGTTTGTTTACTTACTTACTTTGGGAGTTTTGATCTTTGTTCCACATTTATCGTATTGTTTTATTTTTTTTTCTTCTTGTTTAATTTTCGCATGATACTTCTTTCATAGTACATCTCCGAGTATATTAGTGAAAATATCATACACTTAAAATGCACAAAAATTACAATATATAGAAAAACAAAAAAGTAAATAATTTCCTAAAACTAAAACTACTTTAAGAAAAAATAAAAAATACAAAATAAAAACAAAAATGAAATTGTTTGTAATAGAAAATGATTTACTTATTTACTTATTAATTTTTAAAAATAAACTTTTAAAGAAAACAAAGAAAACTATATAAAAAAGTAAAAAAATCAAATATAAAATATAATACAAAAAATAAATAAATTATAGGATTTTCAAGATGTGAGACTCACAAATAAATTTTGTAAAATCTTATCTATTCATATACTTTTTGTGCATATTTTTTGTATTTCTAATCCCGAGAATGACATTAAAATAACCTACACTTTTTGCATTAGGTCCATCTACTAGCTTTAGCAAACACAAATATAATAAATTTCATAACATAAAACATAAACAATTGTGAGACAAAGTATCTAAAAATAAATAAAAGCAACGTTGAATGATGATGTAGAAGCACATCGGATGTTTTAATTGGAGGTATAACCAGATAAATCTCCATAGAAAAGGAAGACAACCTTTTATTTTTTATCACAACAATTACATATCTAAATATATAATTTTAATGTCGCTCACTCTTGCACACGTCTAATTCTCTATCAATATTAAAATGAATGTATGCACACACAAAAAAAAAAAAAAACATTTGAAAAGACAAAAAGATGTGGTTTGAGACCTTTCAATTTGCTGAATTGTATTAATTAATAGTTATTAGGTTTTAATGGTTGGACTTCTAATATTTGTTAGCCATTAAAGTTGATTTCTTTGATTTCATCTATATTCATTTGATAATTTGAGAGTGAACACGTGTTAAGCCTTTACGCAAACAGTTGACACATTTTTTGAGCATTATTATTGAAATGCTCTTTTTTTTGTAATTGCAACCTGTTATATTTTAATAAAAAATTATATTTATTTTAGATATTTTTTTTAAATACAAATTATTTTTTTATATATTTTTTATAAAAATAATTTAACAATCTTATCACTAACCATAGTGTATAAGAAAAGTTAAAAAGAGTGTGGCAATAGGTATGGAAGAAGTCAAAAAGGTTTGGGAAATTTAGCCCAAACCCCTCCATTGGACCCTTATTTAGTGAAGATGACAATCCAATTTATTTTGTTTTATAAACCCCTAAGGAGAAAACAAATAATTGAGTAAGGATAAAGTAAAATATTTTTTTTTTCTTGGATAATATTGCCAGAGTAACATTTTGCTGTGAATCAGAGTAACATGTTACTGTGAGACAGAATAACATGTTACTATCAAACAGAGTAACTGTTAAATAGAGTAATATGTTATTGTTTACATTAATTTCAATGGTAATAATTTTTTATTTTTAAAAATTTCATAGTCAACATAGATCTTATTTGATAGATCTTGATGAGATAATTCTAAAAATACTAATTTTATTACAAACTGACATCTACATGAAAAGTTATATTATTTTAAAGTTTAATATTTTGATAATAATTATATGTGTTAGATTTTTCAAGATTTTTTTTTTTTATACTTGTCCTTAAGGTATTAAAGACCAAATCCCTCAAAAGGTTTGGGAGTTGGGAGAAGTTCATAAATGTAGAGTTTTTTTTTTTTAATAAAAAATTAAAAAATTAAGATTGGGATATTGGAGCTTCTACAAGACTTGTGGGTTGAAAACCCCTTTTTCTTTATATAATACTAGCATTTCACCCGTGCTATGCACGGATTATGTTTACAATTATCTATATATGTGAATTGTGATTTTTAAATATTATATTAAAGTTTAATATTTTGATAATAATTATATGTGTTTGACTTTTCAAGGAATTAAATATCTTTTTTTTTATTATATTATATTAAAGTTTAATATTTTGATAATAATTATATGTGTTTGACTTTTCAAGGAATTAAATATCTTTTTTTTTATTATATTATATTAAAGTTTAATATTTTGATAATAATTATATGTGTTTGACTTTTCAAGGAATTAAATATCTTTTTTTTTATTATATTATATTAAAGTTTAATATTTTGATAATAATTATATGTGTTTGACTTTTCAAGGAATTAAATATCTTTTTTTTTATTATATTATATTAAAGTTTAATATTTTGATAATAATTATATGTGTTTGACTTTTCAAGGAATTAAATATCTTTTTTTTTATTATATTATATTAAAGTTTAATATTTTGATAATAATTATATGTGTTTGACTTTTCAAGGAATTAAATATCTTTTTTTTTATTATATTATATTAAAGTTTAATATTTTGATAATAATTATATGTGTTTGACTTTTCAAGGAATTAAATATCTTTTTTTTTATTATATTATATTAAAGTTTAATATTTTGATAATAATTATATGTGTTTGACTTTTCAAGGAATTAAATATCTTTTTTTTTATTATATTATATTAAAGTTTAATATTTTGATAATAATTATATGTGTTTGACTTTTCAAGGAATTAAATATCTTTTTTTTTATTATATTATATTAAAGTTTAATATTTTGATAATAATTATATGTGTTTGACTTTTCAAGGAATTAAATATCTTTTTTTTTATTATATTATATTAAAGTTTAATATTTTGATAATAATTATATGTGTTTGACTTTTCAAGGAATTAAATATCTTTTTTTTTATTATATTATATTAAAGTTTAATATTTTGATAATAATCATATGTGTTGGACTTTTCAAGAATTTTTTTTTTATGTTTGTTCTTAATGCATTAAAGTATTATTATGAGAGATA